AGGTACACAAAGCACAGACCAAACCCCGAACACGTTATACAGGAATCAACGTTCGTCCTATGATTTCTGTCTACGTATTCGTCCTTCAACTCTGCATCAAATATAAAGAGAAAACTAGTAGGCAGTTCAATCAATACATTCAAGTTAATAAAGTAGACTTACCTGCACAAGACGACGAAACAATAATCTGTTTATCCCAATCATCAACCAAGTTGCCCAAACAGCAGTATTAGCAATGAATGAAATAATTTTTTGTTCATAACATAGAATAACAAAATTACTGAGCATTAGGGTACCATTATATAGCCAAAAACAGTGGTGCATAACCATCGTTTGTACAACAGAAGGCAAGGTGAACCAGTGTTGCTGTTTTAGTTTGCCATACCGGGCTCTCATATATGCTTGTAGGGGTCATACGCGAGCAAGTGCAGTGTTTGAACTGTCAAGCTCCAATGCCTTCAGAATCGGCCTGCAATTTTCGTAATAAATCATGCTTGGCCACATTCGCAAACGCAGAGACGCCATTCTCACCTCTTCCGTCGTCGTGAAGGAAAAGCGTCGATGCGGGCTGCTGTGTGGGTCCGTATACCTCGGCAAGAACGGAGGCGCCCACGACAACCTTCTTTCCTTTTCTAACCTTGGCGTAGACGATTGCCGCATCAGGTCGGTCTACCAGCATGTCGGCCATGGTGCAGGAGACCTGAATCGGATCTATGCCTTCTTTCCTGGCTCTAGACTTTACCTGAATGCTGACATCCCCTTCGTCGGAGCTCGACAGGTGAAGGAACCAAGTACCAGCCTACAGTGACCAAAAAAGTAGATGTGGATCTTGATGCGTTACATGTTCTCCAACATACCACATGTGACACAGAGAGCTTATAGCTAGCATCTGGGTACTACTACTGTGAATATCTTGAGTTCGTTGTAGCGTATGATTTTGGTGGGGACAATGCGGGGTCTTACAAAAAGGCCACTGCGCTCTTATTATTCAATTCTGCTTTCTGTAGATAGTAATTAGTATATTGTTACAAGGCATTGAATATGAGCCCCTCGTTGGAGATGAAGAGATGAAGAAGCTGGAACGCCGCGAGAGAAGCTAGCAGCCATTCGGTGGTACAGTTGCTTGTAAATTCGGTAGATATACTCGCTCCTGTCTCTCTTGTGTATTCGCCATTCCCGTGACAATTTGGTGGAGGTGTGGTGTAGAAGCAGCACTGTACAACGAAGTTCCGCAATGGTCGTAGTCTTGGAGTTTCCATGATCGAAAACGATTGATTGATTGATTGATTGATTGATTGATTGATTGATTGATTGATAAGTGGGATATAAAGCCCCAAAACCACTATATGATTATGAGAGACGCCGTAGTGGAGGGCTCCGGAAATTTAGACCACCTGGAGTTCTTTAACGTGCACCCAAATCTGAGCACACGGGCCTACAATCATGATCGAAAACGTACCAGCCGCTACGACCACTCCTCCATCGGCCACTGAAACGCCTGTACCGGCTTTAACACTGCCAACGTACGAGCTGACGCACTCGGAAAACCCAGCCAGACCAGCAGTTGCACACCCCGACGAAATTGTGAGAATGATTGCTTCTGATCTTCTGCTTTGTCAAGCTGCGCAACCCCACCACGTTTTTACGGCCTATAGAGGTATTTTCGCCCCTTAGAGTGTTCATCGAATTTGAAGATGACCGTCCTTCGGTGCGTAGGACATAAGGTACTATCAGCGTTTCCTTCTTTTTGTTTTTTAACTATTCCTCCTTCATGAGATGCAATTACCGAGAACCATAGATTCGTATAAACAAAAAAAATGTTAGTTTAGCCCTTGTTTCGAAAACCTCGCACTTTCTGCCAAGCCTGTTAATGTCGGTTCAATGATGTGTTCACAGATTGGTGACACCACGCTAGTCTACAAAACGCATTTCGCAATTGTAAAAGTCGCCTGCGTATTCTTACGACAGCGCACGCATTACGCCATGAATAGCGTTGAACAGTAGTGGTACCTCGTACGAACTTACCTCTGCTGGGCTTGGTATCCAGATAGCAATGCCGGCTTCTGTGGAAGACTCGTGACAAGCTTTGCATCGCTGTCCGCTAGGGTCGACGAGCCATGCTTTCATCTGGACTTGGCGCTGCCCTTTGACGTACACTATTGTGTCGTTACCAACGCTGCTGTCCACTTGAAATGGATGTTTCAGAAACTTGTTCAGATGTTGCACTGTATCCACAAGCTGTGCAAAAAAATCACAACAAAGGAAAACTTCCTGAGATCACGAACTTTATTCCACATAGAAAGTTCTTGCCCGTAATTCTTGCACTAGCGTACACATGTGCCATCCTCTTATTGTCACAATGCTCCTTTCTGTGTTTTATGTTGCCGGTGCATTGCACGGGTAGATACTGCCTTGCGAAATTCATGCCAGAATGTCTGAGAGTGTTTCAGGTAGTTTTTGGATCATCTTTTTGGCTTAAGCGCGCAAAGGCGAACAGCTCACTTTATTCTGCAAGAAACTTGGCCATCCCGGGTGGTCGAAATTTCCGGAGCCCTCCACTACGGTGTCTCTCATAATCACATGGTGGTTTTGGGACGTTAAACCCCACATATCAATCAAAACTCGGCCATCAGCGATAACGCCCGAATGTTCCAAGACGCGTATACAATGCCGACGCGTGCTGCCATGGATCAAATTATCGACTGTCGTCACTTTGTTCGCCGACAGTACATCCCGTATCTTTTACTTAGTTTCTATTTCCCGGCCACAAGTTCGGTCAAATAAACTTGCATTTGAGACGCACTGTACCTGCCTGCCTCTGTCAACGTCATGGCCCCGTGACAATATCAGCATGTGTTATCCTCAAACAAAAGGTCTTCATCAAGGACTCGTGTCTTTCTCAGACACAATATAGTAAAAAGAACCGACAGTGACGCCAAAGAAAGTGTCGGGTACATTGTTTATAGCCTTTAAATGTCGAGTACTATATGTCAAATAATTGGGAATTTAAATGAACTAAACGAACATTACCGCAGAAGAGACCGAACCAACAGCTTTCTTATCTCTAGCTTCTAGGTAGCGCTCTGCTTCTCACCCCGAGGACAGCTGGAACCCACTCCCCAGCTGCATTCGTTTCTTCACACTGCTAAACTTTTGAATGAGTTTCCGCTCCCACTTCTGATAGGTTCAAAATAAGACTGCAGTATGTTAAAAAGTGTCTCAAAAGAGCCGTGATTTGTTAAGGCTGAATAGTTCTTCAAGCTCAGTATGCAAACTTTATCCTTACCGTCTGATATCGGGAAGGCTGTTCACGCGATGGCGTGGTTGCTCTGACGAAGGCGGCCTCCATTTCCAGCGCCGTGTTTCCCTTCATGTCTTTGATGGCAAACGCCTTTCCTCGAGTCTCGGAGGCGAGCTTTTCAAGTTTGTCCTCAGCCTTTGCACCCAGTGCCAGTGTGTTCACTACGACCTTTGCTTTTAAGAGCAATGGCATCACAGATTCAATTGTCGGATCTTTGTTCTCTTGGCCATCGCTTAGCAAAGCAATGATTGCGCCCTCCGTCGTCTTGGCGACAGATTCAAGATGCTGAAAGCATGACAAAGTGTCCTTGAGGACATAATCTTGTATGCGAAATCCGACTGTGCTAAAAAAAATTAGAGATGACCACAATACCTGATAAAGTTCGACCAACCAACCCACCCTTGAATTCTTGTCTCGCTGAGGCCCTCGCACACCGGCGTTCATATTCCCTTGTGTATTTCTTGCGTTCAATTTGTGTTTCGACGCTTTGTCGGAGCGGATCTCAGAAGCCACGTTAAAGGAAGCGCGCGGTTGAGATCTTCTCCGCTAGGTGCCGCAATGAGCCGTTGGTTCACAGTGACTTTAGCAGTTCGTAGAAACCAGAGGCGGGCGCGCACATGAAGGCTCTCTAGGGGTTCATAAAGTGTTCACAAGAACACCACGTTCCACTCTTTAAGTAATCTCGTTCAAATAATTTTCATTATTTATGCTGACGGTTAATCCACCCTTATCTTCAGTCATTTGCTTAGATATTGTATGTCTCCAGTATGAATCTTAACTTGAACCATAATTGTAGATGTAGGTCAGTTTCACCGGTAGTTGTCAACCGTAAGTGGTTGAAAGAGAAAGAAGGGTGTCACTAGCACTTCCATCATAGGAACAGCTTCCCTGTACGGTGTACTAGAATATTTTAGAATATCTCAGCGTGTATTCTAGTACACTGTACTTCAGCGCTTCGCGGTCTAATCGCGTTATCGCTCTACGTGTTTGTGTACGTGTCGGTGTTGGTGTGTTTGTTGGTTTTGCGTGCGTGATTGTGTGTTTGTACGTGCGTGCTTGTTTCTGCGACCATACTATTCGGAAGACAGCGTGCACTCATTGTTTTTTTGCGCGAAAATTTTGCTCGCACATTTTTTTCTTTGCGTTGTGCTGCCGTTCCGCGAAAGCTCCACCCTCATTCCCTCCACTTTACCGATAATTTCGACTTTGCTTAATCCACCACGGTGTCCTGGTGGCTATTGTGCTCGACTATCGACCTGCGAATCGCCGGATTGAATCCTGGCCATGGCGGCCGCACGTTCGATGGTGGCGAAAATGCTTGAGCCCCGTGTCCTAAGATTTAGGTGCGTGGTAAAGGGCCCCAAGTGGTCAATACTTACAAAGCCCCCCCCCCCCTCCCCCTCATTAAGGCGTGTAATCTCATTGTTGTTTTGGGACATTCGACCCTGACAATTATTGACTTTGCTTAGGGTGGGAGTCGCTGCTCATGATTTTGCAGTACTACTATTACTATTACCAGTAGCGGAATACTACTGCTGCGATCGCTGCTTTTAATACTACTAGCGCTGCTAGCAATACTAATGATAGTAGTGTTAATACTAGCATCACTTTGGTACTGTAATTGCTGCCACTAGTACCAGTGATAGAACTAATACTTACCATTATTGCTTTCTTAAGGCCGCACCCGATGCATGTATTACCTCTGGCTTTCATAGCCTTTACGACTTTCATAAATCCCGGCTTCGTGGTGGCGTTCACTGGTGCGAGAGGGTGCACTATGCGCGCTTTATGACCGAACCTCAAGATGGCCAGTTGAAGCGAGTCGTTTTCGATGCCGTTGATGTACCGCGTCACGGCCTCCTTTAAATAGTCCAAGCGTCGGTAATTCTGGAAAGGACAAAAGAGAACTGACAGTCACTTCGCGACAGTCTGACGCATTAAAGGAGCCTCGCAGCACTTTTAGGAGTGAAGCACGTTAATGGCGAGGCCTTTCCACTGTTCTTTCCTCACGGCTATGATTTTATAAAGCAACGTTTGCGTAATGTACGGTATAGTCGAGACATGTCAGACACACTCAAAAAAAAAAAAGTTTAACTATAGACAAATATAAATCATGATTGGGACGTAACAGTATAAAACGCCTACAAATGCAAAGCCTTTCTACTAGTAGGTTATTTCAGCGTATATATAATGGACCTTATGACCTAGCTTCACCTATTCCTCTTGATTCGCTTGGTGGAGAGATGTGGATTTTATTTTTTTCAGCATGGTCAGAAAATGCTGCGGATTGGTTCCCGAGGCTCTTGAGAACACGCTAGTCATTCATTGCATCGCAGCAATTAGCTTGGAATTTACTACTCTCAAAGTCAGTCAAAAATTGCTTCCTCGTGTCTCTACAAATGATGCCATATACCATGGATCTGAAACACGCGGGTCACATGCAGCCCATGGCCTTGCATGGCTGTCTTCACCCTACGTTTTATTCTTATGTATGTTCGTGAGCAGCACATGCGTGACTGTTCTAAAGCATTGTTTTCGTGAGGCACGCCACAGTGTCATGGTATAGTGAAGCGTAACCGTGAAACAAAACAAAAAAAAACAAATTCGGCAGATCCCACGTACCAGTGAAATCGATGTTACGCGAAGCATGTGGAGGTGCACCGACTGTGGCGTATTTTTATTGAGCAAAACGCTATCAAATGACGCGAAATATATCTACAAGTGTTGTACGCACAGACATACATTAAACAGTCGCATATGCTTTACATAACCAGTTGTTTACAGTTGCGCGACGATGCGAACAGAAACATGGGTATTACCAACGCCTGAAGCGCTAAGCGCTTGTCTTTGGCAGGTTTGTAGCCCTGGTTAGTGCTACGTAGACCGACTTCTGTGGATGACGCCTAACTTCAATTAACGTTAACATGACGCCACACCTGCTTTTAGGAGCACATACATGTAATGTTTGCAAAATTGCAACCACAACTGTAGATTTCAATTTTTCTGACCACTTTCGCATTTAAGTTATCGATGTCGGTTTCCACCGTTCCTGAGTAGATATAAGCTCTACATCACCTGCGGCGCACACCAGCATACTGAGGTCCCTGATATGCTGGTATCGGCCACACCTGTCTGGAGGAAAGAGTTTTATGGCGCACACACGGAAGTTTAACGTTCTTCGTGTCATGACCCAGCCACAGATCTTCACCAGACCCTCTTACCCCTTCATACTAAATTTTGTCTATAACCCAGCTTATGGAGGCGATCAAGAGAGCACCCCCGCCTGAAGGGGGCTATATATATATATATATATATATATATATATATATATATATATATATATATATATATATATATATATATCCTTGATGCAGGAGGAAATCTGTGGTGACGTCACCACCCGCAGTTTCATCTAGCTCGTTTTCTCTTTTACCAAGCGTCTTCTTGCGGTGAGCCCAGTTGTTTCGGAATGGCGAACGGGTAATTTACTAATAACAGAAAAATCGTTTTCCTCTTTAGTGTCCGTTTATTTTTACGCAATATCATCTAGAATAGGCCCATCTGCCAACGAAGGGGTGCCGTGGCAACGTCGTTGAGCTTCTGAATCGAAAGGCACGGGTTGATTTTTGCCTCGACGCTCCAGTTTTGATAGAGACGGAATTTCAGAGGACCGTATACTCTGTTGTGTTAGTGGACGTCAAAGAACTCCGGGTAGCCGAAATTTTTCGGCACACTCTCCTATGGCATTCCACAAAATCATGTCGAGATTTCGCCTTGTGAAACTGCAGAAATTATACCACTATAATGGGCTTCTACTCACGTCCATGCTGGTGGAGAGGTCTAGAACGAGCACGACGCGCTGCACACGAGTCTTCGTCTCTTGTATTTCCACGAAGGACGTCTCGATGTGCTCTGTCATGGCTGGTCTTGTAAGCCTTCGAGCACAAAAACAACAAAAAATCCCTGCATATCCAAGAAGTGAATGATGACGAGTGGGTGAAGCTCCGGCAGATCATTAACCCCCGCACATTGCCCTGTCGATCATGCAAAGACGTGACAACACGGGTGTACTGCATATACAAAGTTGTTCATTGGTCACAATGCACATATGGTTTGAGATATCCATATGGATATTCAGTTGGATATCCATAAGAATAACCATATGGACATGGACTTCTATCTTCATATGGATAGTCACATATGAGATGTCCATATGAATATAGTTATAGACATTCATATGAATATTCAACGAACATCCATATGGATATGGATATCTATAGTGTGTCACACCGATGGTCCAAAGACATGGCTCGACCCTAGGGAGCTTCACCCCTAAAATCAAAGGCCTTTTTAATGGGGCCTTAATACACTTTTCCGGGGAGCCATGAAACGAATTCACTGAAAGAGATTTTGCGACGCGAATTCACCAATGCTAAGGTTTTAAAAATTCGTCAAGTGCGAGCGAAGTCACAAAGATTTTTCGCACGCTGCAATTGCATTCTCCTTGCCCCGCCGTGGTGGCCTAGTGGCTAAGGTACTCAGCTGCTGACCCGCAGGTCGCGGGTTCGATTCCCGGCTGCGGCGGCTGCATTTGCGATGGAGGCTGAAATGTTGTAGGCCCGTGTGCTCAGATTTGGACGCACGTAAAAGAACCCCAGGTGGTCAAAATTTCCGGAGTTCTCCACTACGGCGTCTCTCATAATCATATGCTGGTTTTGAGACGTTAAACCCCACAAATCAATCAAATCAATCAATTGCATTCTCCTTTCTCTCGTCCAGACAAATGCACTGGAAGCTAAGCAAGAGGGTATGGTGGTGGCACGGGGAAAGAAAATACGTCACGCGCACCTCGTGACATTAAGCATTTTTTCAGTGCTTTTTTTTTTTTCTTCGAATACGCGGCTTTTCAGCGCGATCGCGCACGCCCGCATCGACAAGTCGCGGCTTTATGCGGCGGACCCAGTAATGATCGAGCGCAACGTGCTCAAGCCAGCAGCCACCAATGGCTGACACAATGGCTGTGAAGAATGATTTTTTTAGCTTCTTCCGTCATATGTGCAGAAAATAAAAAGCTATTTGTTGCTGTTTTCGAGAATTAATTGTGAATTCTAGGCCGTGTGCTGCGCCATTATATTGGTTTGTGGGTTCTCGGGAGCCTCTACTACCGATCGGCAGCGTTTTCTGGTCATGTTCAAGAGGTGTTGCAGGGCCCCTTCGAGTTCGTTCTTAAGTTGTGGTTTCCTGTGTCAAGAAAACAGCAACAGTGCACACTTTGTGACGTTGTACGTCTCAGTAAAATGCTTCACTGCACGAATCAGGGAACTTAATTGTGTGATGCGCTTTTTAAAGAGAGGGTGAAATAGATTAGAAGGGCAGATAATCTGGTAAAATTAGCCGGTTTGCTACCCTGTACGAGGGTGTGTAAAAAGGCGTCGGAGAGAGCACAGAGAGAGAGAGAGAGAGAAAATAAATTTTTAATGTCCACATTCACACATGCAAGGCGTTCTAATTAGAGCATTTAGAATGAAATTGCAACGTAGGGGAAATATTCGCAACTGCACTCGTACTGAACATATTCCAAAAAATTTTGTGATGGTGATTTTTTGAGGCCATGTGCTCCTTTACTGAGTTTATTCCAAGGCTACTTGAAAAAGTGTGTTTCAATTATTTACCCACCTCAAGCGCAAGTCCGCGTTCTCGCTGATCACTTCCCATGCTGACCTTTGCTGGCACAGCCTGTTCTGCTTGTTAGGACCAAACGGGTTGTGCTGACGGGCTCTGCTGGTATTGTCACAGAACTGGCTCACCTGCGGCAAAGTCCACAAATTTTTGTTAGCGATCGTATGGGGTGTGATATGAAGGGCGCGTTGAGGAAGGGGAAGGGCGGGCTAGATTTATCACGAAAGAAATCTGCCAGTGTATAAGTAAATCTTCTATAGTAGTATCGATAATGATTTTAAAAAAAGGCCATATACTTGTACATAATATAAAAATGTTTCGTCACAATTGGTGACGCCAGCAGTCTGTTCACGTGACCTCACGAGGTAAATAGCTCTCAATTGGTCTGTATCCATATCAGCTGCGAAATGTTTCCTACCCTGCTTGGCCATACAGTTGCACACCAGTTCTGTCTTGTCCCGCATTAATGTTGGGCATGATCAACCAATTAAAGTTTGTTTATTGCGTTCTCGACTGCGCAAGCGAAGCGACGTCTTCTAGCCTCAAAGCGCGAAATCCTGATATAGGCTAAACTGTTAGTAGTGACATGGTCCTTGTGTTCTATGGAGAAATAAATGGTGGGAAGGAGCCAGCGCCTGTAGGTAGTTCTGAAGGCGAAGAAAAAACTGTCTTGTTATTGTACTCGGAGTGATTTAGGAACCTATATAAAGAAGTTTGTATTTTTTTTTTGCTCTTTCTCTACTGTGACATCAACACAGCCCTAACATGAACTAGCACATTAAATAGAGGTCTAGGCCTGCTACTATCATTGCCAACCCGAGGCCTGAACATGATTGATGACTAAATGAGATGACCATTTCTGGGATGACGCAAGGTGGCCACGCAGTCCTTGATAAGCGACACATACTGTCAATGGAGCAATTTTCGTGAGACGCTGTCCTGGCAGTGAAGGCGATCCTTTCATAACAGGCGCTAAGTTTCACCTGAAATTAATTACCCGATTAATATCTATATCGCAGCCAGGGTCGTAGCCAATTTTTTTTTCACTAGGAGTCAGAAGCTACCGTATGCTTTTGGTGTCTTTATATACATACATGCAAGTTTTAAAAAAAATTGCAGAAAAGGGATGATAAGGGGGGTCAAAGAGGTACCTTGTTTTTTTCACGTACTGCGTCTCATCTTCATTAATTGATATGTGTGGTTTACCGTCCCAAAACCACTATATGATTATGAGAGACGCCGTAGTGGTAAGCTCCGGAAATTTTGACCACCTCGGGTTTTTTAACGTGCACCCAAATCTGAGGACAAGCGCCTACAACATTTCCGCCTCCATCGGAAATGACTACGTCTCATCTTCAGCACCAGCTCGTTCCTCGATGTTTTTGCTTCCAGTTTTCACCCAGTTACCTAAACTATCTTCCAAAATTGTCGTAAGTGGAAGGTGCGTCCTTCAGATGCACATTTCTGTGAGAAGCTAAAAACGCAGTAAAAGTGGGACCTCATTTTCACTTAGTCACTCCAGCTTGAAAAACCGGTAAAAATTATTTCGTTATCCGAGTCAAAGATTTGCCTTGTTCACCACGATGGTGTAGTGGTTGTGGCGCTCGGCTGTTTATTGAATGGTCGCGGGTTGAATACCGGCCGTGGCGGTCGCAAGTCGACGCAGGTGGCGTTTAGGTGGTTCCATCGCGTGTGCTCTGTGATGTCAGGACACGTTGAAGAACGCGAAATTTTAAAAATTTCTGAAGCCCTCCACCATGGTATCCCTCATCATCATATCGTGGCTTCTGAAAGTGAAACCCTGACAGTTATTATTATGCAAACTTTGTCTGATAACATTAGTTCAAAACGCTACTGTAACACGATCCTCTGTTTTCGCAGGATTGTCTTATAAGAACGAAAAATTCGTTCACATATGTTAAGCTCTTATCGAAGCACCCCAATGGGACTTTCACTATTTGAAGTCGATTTCTTTCATATAGCTTTCTATTTAGCGTTATACATTAGCTTCTCTTTTGCTGCTCTACTGTGAAATAAAATGAATGAAATCATGGTTTTTATAACATCAAGTCCTGGTTATGCTTTTAAACGCGTTGAAAGCCCTCAACCAAGGATATCTGGGCACCGTTCTGCAAACAATGCTTACCAACACTCACCTTGCCGCTGTTACAGTACGTCAGTGGATGCTGGCTGTCACCGTCGCAGGCGTACTCATCAAACACTCCGTACCGGAAGTGCGCCCACTCGTGTGCCAACGTGTACACTGAAAGTCAATATATGAAACATCAGCAACCTAACTTACTATGCGAGTTTCGCTAAATCATCTCTATTTTCTCATTCACTAATATTAGCACAAATAGCCGGTAGTAGTAGTATAGGAACACGTGAATGTGCGCTTGCTTGGACGACTGATGTCGAAGTAGGTATCCGTACGCGTCATGCCCAGATTATCGTATGAAATGTCCGACTTGCAATAAGTTGGCACACATTTGCCTGTAATTTATGCAAACTGTGTGCACGCTTCAGTGCGGTTGGCGTTTCGCAAAAGTCTGGGAAGAAATGAAAATCGCACCTCATATAAATTCAGCACCAACCAGCTGCGTACGTCGCGTACGTCGTTTTCAACCATTGGTTTCGCAGCGATGTTCTTGTGGCTTTTCGGCAACACAGTAGTATAAACCTATCATCAGATTCTGGGATAGCTCGATAAGAAAACTGCGCGTCAAAAAAGCACTGCAACAGCTGTCAAATGGTTTGTTTACAAGAGCTGATTGCCTCACGAATTGACCATCGCAATAATTTTGAGAATCCGTCAGGTACGGGCACAGTTGCAGGGATTTGCAAAACATGCCTCAAACGCTTTCTCTCTCCTTTCGTATAAGAAAGCGCGCTGTAACTTGCGCAAGATGATGTGGTGAGGGAGGGGGTGGCGATCACTAAAGGGAGAGTAGATGCGTCCGTTGGCGAGTGTGCGTCGTGACGGTGAGCACTTTCTTTTCTCTTTTTTTTTTGAGCTCATAGTGTTAAGTTATTACGAGCGTGGACATGTGGCGGCATCCCGCGGCTGCCCCAGTAACTATGCAGCTAACGTTGCTCAAATTGGCAAACGGTCGTAGTCTTGGGGTTTATGACACCATTTGTCGAATGAAGAGTGGACAATTTTTCGCTGACCTTGCGTATAATTTGGGAACTCTAGACCACTTGCTGCGCTATAATGTTTGGCTCGCGTGTTCTCAAGAACTTAGACTATCGATCAACGTAGTCTCCTGTCCACGCTGAGAAGTGTTGCAGGGCCCCTTTCAATGTGCACAAACGAGGAATTGTTAAAAAAAATCAATTTGTGTTCTATTATCGAATAACCTTCCACAATACAGAAAATGCCTCTATTGCCGTGAGAAAAGGCTTAGTAAACAAAAAAATGCTGAAGTAAAATACAGATGTCGATCCCACATCGAGATTTGTCCACAAAATCGTCTTGCCGCCACAAGATTTTCAACTTCACTATGGTGGAGTGTTTTATTGGTAAAAGCTAAATATATTTTTAAGGCAGGTAAATACTTACGAAAGCCGGTTTGATGCTGAGCCAACTTGGCCAACGAGTTCTCAAGCAGTACTTTGTTAATCTATCATGTCCAACTGACATTAAGAAGGTGATGTTTTGACGCGAACTTCATATGAAATTTTGGGCCTTTCTTGTTCTCACTAGACGATCGAATTCTAATAGAATGATGTGGGCGATTAGCTGGCTAACCATTCAGCTCACTGAGTGTTTTACTTAAGTGTTCGTTTTAAAATGGCGTGCAAATATCACTTGTTTGCTCTTTGTAGGGTTTATTTTAAAAATTAAGGCAGCTTGTGCTAGTGGTGCCGAGGCCGAAGGAAGTGCGCAATTGAGAAACCTCCTTTGTTTCTCTTTCTTTTCTCTTTTCTTTCTTTCTTTTTCTCTTCGCCACTTTTTCTGTCTTTTTTTTACTTATTGCGATTACTGTTTTCTTCCTCCTGTTCTTTCGTGTCCCTTCTCTATTTCTTTTTCTCGTTCGCTGGCTTTAATTTTAAATTTTTGTATGTGGTTCTGGTTGCAAGGACGACCGCATATGACAGTAATAATAGCTGACACAGCGCACTCAGAGACACCGACGAAGAAGTGACACACAAATACAAGTGCTGACAACTGAAAAAAGAACAAGTTCGTAAAAATATACAGAATAGGCCATGCGCTAATTCATGCCGTCGAAAACGCCTTTTAACAATGATAAAACGTAATGAGTTATGTCACTGAAAAGTGGAGAAAAGCTTGCGAGGGAGTTCACCCCCGGCAAGAAAGATAAATCTTTAGTGCCTAGTAGTAGAGAAGGTTTACTAATTGCCGTTTTTTTTCTTCAATTACCTCCGCTTTAACGGTCGCTCTTTTTTTTTTCTCACATGATGTTTTAGTGAATACAGCAGTGTCACCAAAGACAGGTGTGCAGCCACACTCATTGTCAAAGGACGTTTTCGACAGCATGCACTGGCGCAAGGGCAATTCTGTATATTTATACCCGCGTGTTCCTTCAAAATGAAATTCAGTTTTTAGTCAGCGCTTGTCTTCGTGTGTCCCTCTTTCGTCCGTGTGTCTAAGTGCACTGTAAGCTAGTACGGACCTTCACCAACTACCCAGGGCAAGAACCTTGTCACAGCGTAAGACAGGCATAAACCCCTAAGGTGCTCTGCACTTAAAAGCTTGAATAGATGTCGCTCATACCCGAATTGTCTAGCCTGCTCGTGGTCGAATTCCTGTATTTAGCGAGGAATCCGGGCGTCAGTTGAATGAAGTCTCCAGGCTGACCGCAGGGTCTTAGCTGCTGCGTGAATGGCCTGTCCCAGTGCGGTTCACCTGGCAAGTCAATGCGGATGTCACTCTGCTCGAAAAAACTCGATGACACGTTTCGGGCTTCTTTTCTTGCGGGCCATGTGCTGGGCGCCTCGATTGTGACCTGCTTGAAGTATACTCGACCGTTGGTAGCTCGGTGCAAGAACTTCGACGAAGCCGCAAACAGCACCTGTAAGTCGTCGATTTCTCAGGCAAGAATTTCAGATCTTGTGGTGGATACTTTGTAAATATTGTAAATTTTGTTCAAGCGAATCAGATCAAGCGTCCCGCATTTCAAGAAGCAACTGTTTTCGTGATACACTATGCCATCTCAGTCAATCAATCACTTTTGACGCCTGTTGGTAGACGGACTTTATCCAAAATACACAAGATACAATGTTGAACAGCATTACATCAAGAGCTTTAGCAATTCGTCGACCGTTTTTCTCGAATGCATATTCGAAGTTTTATATCGAGGTTATGCCATGGCCATTAATCCTACAGAAACACAATGTTATCGCACCGGAGCTGGCACATCGGCTAGTTGTTGATCAATTACCATGAATAGCAGCGTGGTAGTAGTAACGGCCTTTAAAACACAAAGTGAGAGGAAGCGCAAATTTATCCTGCTATGCGTGTTCGCTCATTTAGATTAATACAGGTGAATTCCTTAGATACCTTGCCAAACACGAAAATTGACTTTCGGGGTGCCGAGGTGTCGGCGTCAAGGATGTGCTTTAAAAAATCATCACGTCGCTATGAATTGGCAAGAATGTCTGACGTCATCATGACTCCAGAACTTGATGTACGTTTCGTCACGTCGCACATTCAAAGAATTTTCAATCGCAGAGGTGGTGCAAAATCATGGCAGGGGCAGAAAGCATTCGTATGGGGGCCAAAGAAAGATGCCTACATCGACGTAGAAGAAACATTGGTAGCCGATCCACAATGTGAATGCTGATTTTAGAGAAAAGGTAATTCCTAAGGTCCGTAATCTTTAACAGTGAAGTTGCTGAGTAGTATAAAGGACGGACGGTTGGACAGACAGATGGGCGGACAGAGCACAGTCTATCTTAAAACTAAATGCGCTCTGTGAACGTTCTGTGTACGGTATATGTAACACCTGTGTTTCGGTCTAACGGGGAGCTACGACAATGACGGCGTCAACGCGCAACATGCGGACCTAAGTAGCTGCTCTCCAGCTTTTGCCTTAAAGGCTTCTTAGGAGTAGTCTAAAGGACGTTTTCTCTGGCTTAGCCTTGCATCTTCTTGTTAAAAACGTCACCCTAAAGAAGTTGTAACATAAGCAGAAAGCACTTAAGTGAGCCGGAAGTAATGTTCCGCGCTGCGGCAGCACCCACCTTAATGTCCTTGATGATAGACTCGTCGTAAGGAACATCTCTGTTGATCGACACGAGCAGGTTAGTGTATCCGCCATCCGATGTGTCAATCTCCAACGACGCAGCCGAGCTTGCAAACCAAATCAGGATCACCACAAGGCGTTCTTTTCTCATCATAGCTTCAGAAAAAAAAAAGCAATGTATAATGTAAACCTTTTTGTGACCCAGCGTCCTCACGTGGAGGTCAACTTTACTTTTGTCATTTCTATACACTCTTGGCAAGGAAGAGACTATACGAACGCTGAGCCAGTGGTCAATTAAGCATCTTTGCTGTCTAAAGTTCAGTATTATCACTTTGCGTTAAAATAGTTTGCTGTGCTGTACAGTACGAACTGTGACTGTTGTTCGTGGTCGTCCTGGTGTTTACTTGTGCGTTTGTTTCGCACGTCTTTCTATTTGAGCAGCGTGCTTTAGGCGCCCAGCTGTGACAGTTGTTTGTCCGCGCTTCTTCTGTATACGCTAGTTTCGTGCGTGATTCCTGCTTGAGGTGTGCGTTGCAAGCTACAAGCTGTTAGCCGTTCTTCGCGTGACACCGCAATTTGTTACTGCAGCATTCCTTCCATCGTCCTTGTGTCGAAACAATGCGCAATGAATGCTCAACTACCTCGGTCAGAACACGTTTCACTTTCGTGTTATACCGATTCCTAAAAAAGAAGAGAAACCACATTTTTTATTCATTTTTTTTTTGAAATGCCAGCTTCATGCACGTAATCATTTAATGTAATTTTGGTTTGTAGTTGAATTCGGTTTGTGAAGAAATATAGCATGACTCACCTTACAATATTTAGATAAATATTTATGTTTCAACTACTATATTTTCCTCTAGAGTAGACTATTGTTTATTTTAACGTACTTCCTCTAATATTCGTAAGCATATGCTCGGCATAAAATTGTCTAAATTTTACGCCTTTGCATATAGCCAATCAACATGCCTGTCACAAATGGGTAAGGGACTAGCGTGGCTAATTTCGTCACAGGAGAGGTAAAATCAAATGGCGAGCGCAGTGCTATCTCTACGTATTCCGTTTTGAACTGAATAGCTGGAAATCCTTTTTCGATATGTAGTATTACCTAGTTTCAGATAAGCCTACTTATCAGCATATCATCAATACCCAATGCACGTGAAGTATTTAACAGTGGCATTGTTTCATAAATTGTTCGCGCTTACAGGATTTTACGCAAGTTGGGATGAATACCATGCAGGAGTAATTGGAAAGGAGTAGTTAATCGGCATATTGAATATTTCAGCTATAAGTGGCATACTCTTCAAACTACAAAAACTAGCTGCAAGCCGAACAGATCACTATGATCATCGGCATATTAAAGTTATCACTATTCGCCAGACTTTCAAGATGTACGTTTAAATACCGTGAAGAAGATGGGGGTGAAAGGGGGGGGGCGTTCAGAGGGAGAGTGATGGAAGCGTTATCTTCAACATAACGAAGAATTTCCCGCACAAATCATCGTCTGAGAAGTCATTTCGTTGTTACACACATTTCCAACACTTACCTGTGAGTGTGGCTGAGTGTTACCTGTTTTACAGCGAGCGATTCTGTGCTGGTCCTGTTCACACGGTGATGCGAGAATCACCAGACTCGCTGATCAGGAGAAAGATACCTGTATATGAATTTTTCGCAATCGTTTGCTGTTTTCGTGCTTAATTGCGTTTGGCGACGGCTCATTTTAATAACTGATACGCAGAGATACCCCAGAAAATATTCATTACGTTCCGGCGAGCATTCCTTATGATAACATAGGTTGGACAAACTGGGCCGTTGCTGCGGGCTAAGAAATTATCTAAATGATAATTGTTGTTTTACCACAGTTTCCTGAATTGGACTAAATAATATATATATATATATATATATATATATATATATATATATATATATATATATATATATATATATATATATATATATATGGTGATCTGCAGTAATCTATACAAATCAAAAAGAAGTAGAGTGAAGTGCTTGATTCATTTCAGTTTAACTATGGAAGACATACTAACAGCTTCTTCATTGCGCCTAAAAGCCTCAAAAGAATAGCAGATCGGCTTCCAAGCATTCGTTGTAGTACACTCACCCACGTACGCTTAATTTAGACATTAAAATTACTCTTCTCGGTCCTGTGCGTGTGCCTCTGCAATAAATGATGTGCAAGTCGCCAGGCACGTAGTATAGACAGCGTGGTGGTGATAGTGTCAATCATAGGCATGCAGTGAAAACACTTTCGTTTTCATTCGCGTAAAAGTCGCTATTTCCGGCGTGAGTATAGCAAGTTACAATGTGTTCTGGCGCGCACAGAGACATGACGTTTTAGCGAAGTATTCACAGTCATGAGTTCATAACGTAAGGCGTCTTTCATGTGGTCGTTTCAGGACCTTAAACCTCCCATATTAAATTAAATATGGAAGTCACAGCGCGATACTTTTGGTTGGAATGTAAAAACAGCGCCAAAATAGAGACAAGAACAAAAAGAGAGACGAGTGAGTGCTGACTTACTTTAGCTACGGTGTGAATCAGTAGTTCTTGTATAGTGAGCGTAGCTGGGTAAACACTGCAGATCCGCCATGAGAACAGTAATAAAGAGTTGCATTTATTTTCGACGTTTTCAGCCAGATCTCCGGTTTTGGCTTGTATTCATAACTTGCGCGAGGAAATCACGTTTTTTTTTCTATATAGATAATAGCAAGCTAAATTGAAACCGCGAGCTCAAAACAACGTGCAAAGCAAAAGTAACGTCAACTTGACCATCGGAGTCATTATTGAAGTTTTGCAGGAGCTTTAATAACACTGGCATATATGTCCGTCAAAAGTTGTATACGCCTGTGTTCACATATTCAAAACAACGTACAATGTTTTGTCGGAAGAAATTACGAGCCAACCATAGGAACCACATATCGCGATGTTATGTAGACCTATTTGCACGCGTGATAATCGAGATAAGAAACACGCGCCATGCGTAACACGGGAGCACTACGTGATAGTTTCCTAATTGGCCGATAATCAATACTGTCACTGTAGTCCATTTTTTTTCCATCGCGTACTTGTCCTCTTGACTGGTACTGCACTGGGTGAGGAAATGGGCGCCAGGCTGATTACACCTCTCATTTGTACCTTGTGCAACTGGCTATCGGAACGCGTAATCAATGTCAATAAAGCATGCATGTTCTGCTTATATCAGGGGCTCGAAAGCCAATCTTTCATCGGCTGATTGCTCTCACCAGCATGTTTTTTTTTTTTTCATTCCGTCTGCGTGGCCTCTGCTCTCGTTGGGCCTTGAAACATGACAAGGGCTCTCTACCTGTTCGTCTTAGGTGGCTAGGCTTGCCACCATCGCCCCCCGCCGCGGTGGTCTAGTGGCTAAGGTACTCGGCTGCTGACCCGCAGGGCGCGGGTTCGAATCTCGGCTGCGGCGGCTGCATTTCCGATGGAGGCGGAAATGCTGTAGGCCCGTGTGCTCAGATTTGGATGCACGTTAAAGAACCCCAGGTGGTCGAAATTTCCGGAGCCCTCCACTACGGCGTCTCTCATAATCATATGGTGGTTTTGAGACGATAAACCCCACATATCAATCAATCAATTGCCAACATCGCCTGTTGTCACGGTGTGTCATGTAGTCCGGGTCAGTCGTAAAAACTGGTATGCGCCACAACGGGTAAAATCCACTACTTGCAGCCGATCCGCTAAAAATCAAAAATGCATCAGTTAGCCCAACAATTTAGCAGACGATGTTAGTGGAGCTGAAACACCCTTCCTTACATTCTGTATATGGAACTGAAACAATGTAGAGAAAAGAGGAAGAACAACACTGCATGCTTCACCCCTCCCGTGGTTAGTAGAGATTCAGCGCCCATCCGTCTTTAGTTTCAGCCTTCACAAATAGCTTCATACTCTCGTTTAAGGATAATGCTTCAGACGTCTCATCAAACACAAAGATACCACCGCAATTAGAGAGAATGATGCAAGAAATCAATAGGTGATGACGTGCCATATGATGTCGCTATCGTTTGACAGATCTGTAAAGTTTGTGACGTCATCTGGAGGACGTCACACACCATGACGTTAAACGATGACGTCATTACAAGACAACTTTGCTTGGTCTGTGGGAAACCGATCACGGAGGCAATGCAAAACCACGTTGTGGGCCCAAAGCTCTCGAACTGGCGAGGGGGAATCGAAGCGTTGATTGAGAAGAAAAAGACGTTGGCTGTCACTTTCGAGCTGTCACTTTCGAGCTCTCTTATGCATTCGATTAAGACAGCGAATGCATAAGAGAGCCTGCTAGTTTTCTTTTTTTGCTTTTCTGCGATTGTACAAACTGCGGACAATACACCCGAGTGTCCACAAAAAAAAAAGATAAGACATCTTTGAGATTCTGCAATGCAACACCTTTTCGAATTGTCTAGAGGCGGCCTTTACGAATGAACTTCATCGCACTTCGTGGCATTGACAAAAAAAAAAAGACTGCGAAAAGCATTTGCTCAGTGGTGATTTATCACTCTAAATGTACAGACCTACGCCATGACGTGTTACATTTTTTTCAATACTTATTTTTTGCAATTTTTCTAGCTCTCAGCACACTGACAAAAATCTATTACAACGACAAGAAAACGCCGTCATGCTTTTTTTTTTCTCTGGGTAGGGTAGCCAGCCGGAAGCTTTTTTCAGCCTATTTTTTTGTCTAGTGCTGGACGAAAGTTTCTACCAATCAAACTACAACTTAACCACGTTTTGCGCTAGCGCATTTGAATTTTTAGTAAAGCTTGTTACGAGTTGGAGATTTAGATGGTGATGGTGGCGTTGTCCGATTTCCTATAAGTGATGCTGTCATGGTCGTGGGCTTGTCCGTGATCAGCTGTTCCTATTAGTGGTGCCTATTTGTGAAGCCATGGACATACTCCTTGACCAATACTACAGTCACCCTGCCTCTTTACTGCGTTCAACTTTCTATTTGGTTCATTACTTCACCTGTGATTCGGACTCAATACGCAAAATGCAAAAAAAAATTGGGCCGTAAGCTGTCGTAGTCCACCCTGTGCAGTCGTTTTCATCATCGAAGTAGTAGTAGTAGTAGTAGTAGTAGTAGTAGTAAGCATTTGACGTAGTAGTCATGGTACAAGAGGAGCAAGATTAATTGAGGCTCGATAAAAATAGGGAATCGAAGGCGCCTCGCCATGAGTACGGATAGACAGACTCGCTCCTAGGCGGAGAAGGTGAGGAGCGTCACTGCAAGATCGCTCGAATGTGTAGATCCAGTTCGAGGAGGATAAAGAATGGTTTTCACAAAAGTAGGTCAACAGGGAAGGAGCATGCGCTTTTAGTATACGAACCACAAAATTAATGAGAACAGAAAACGATGTCAAGGAAAGTATTTGGGGTGTTCTTAGCAGTAGTGGTAATGCAGATGTGATGAAAGAAAAGTGGACGAAAAAAAAGCCTGCGGCTGGCAGGTAACTAACCTACGACCCTCGAATAACGCGTCCGACGTTCTGTTCGATGCGTCTGGTGTGGGATCCATTTTCAGTTGAAGTCCGGCACCCAGCTTAAAAACTGACAACTGTAAAAAAAAAGTATTTGTAAAAACTTTGCTGAAACATAGAACCGAACTTTAATGCCAGAGGAATCAGCTGACAGCTTCGCTATCCCAAACTTTTCACGGCGAGGAACTGGCTGTTTTATTTTCGTTGTTGTAGTTGTTTTTAACCTAGCGCACAGTGTTTCATTTCTTTTCTTCTCAATGTGTAAAACGGCATCTGTTTAATCACTGCTGTATTATTCCTTTAGGAAGTGTACTCTAAGAGGCCATGATCTTTCCCGCAGATTTATGTACAGGGCGTTTCAAGAAGTGTGTCCACTATTGAAAAATTGTGGAAAGGTGTCATCTGCGTGCTGCCTGCGGCGTCGCCTCTACTGTGCCAGACGGCATCTCTATTTTTCTCCCTCATTCTCCTCTCCTCCGTGTAGGGTAGCAAACTGGACTTAGTCTAGTTAACCTCCCTACCTTTCCGATATGTCTTCTTCTTCTTCTTCTTCTTCTTCTTCTTCTTCTTCTTCTTCTTCTTCTTCTTCTTCTTCTTCTTCTTCTTCTTCTTCTTCTTTCTTTCTTTTTTTCTCTTTCTTTCTTTCTCTTTTTCTCTTTCTTTCTTTCTCTTTTTCTCTTTCTTTCTTTCTCTTTTTCTCTTTCTTTCTTTCTCTTTTTCTCTTTCTTTCTTTCTCTTTTTCTCTTTCTTTCTTTCTCTTTTTCTCTTTTTTTCTTTCTCTTTTTCTCTTTTTTTCTTTCTCTTTTTCTCTTTTTTTCTTTCTCTTTTTCTCTTTTTTTCTTTCTCTTTTCTCTTTTTTTCTTTTCTTCTTTTTGTCTTTTTTTTTCTTTTTCTCTTTTTTCCTTCTTTTCTTTTTCCTTTTTTTCTTTTTCTCTTTTTCTCTTCTTCTTTTTCTTCTTTTTCTTTTTCTTCTTGCTTCAGATGCGTACAAACAATATTCACGGCACCAATTATAGGAGTTAACTAAAAAGTCAGTTTCTACCAGTGGAAATAAGCGGTCTAGTCAAATGGGCGAGTTGAAGTCTTTCCGGCAAATAGTCCATAGGCACTTCGAAATTTCTTAAAAGCGCTGGTAATCTCCGCGGCTCGATGAAATCTGGCTTATTTAGCAGGCTAAACCTAAACCGACGTACCTAACAGCGCATCTACCATTCCATTCGACAACGCCATCCACGAAGACACTGTTTTCCTCGCCAGTATTAACCGTCAATCTATATACTTCGTTTTATTTTATTTTTTTTCGGAGGGGCAACACTTTCCTGCCGCATGGCCTCTTATCGACACTCGCTTGTTCTGTTCCCACGATGCGAGAGAAACAGTGTCGTCATTGAGGGTGTTTCTGAAGTGAATGGTAGATGCGTTGTTGGGTGCGTCGATTTCGGTTTCGCCTGCTAGATTAGCGAGATTTTATCGCCCCGTGGTCATTAGTATACTGGCCGCCTTTAAAAAGTTTCAAAATGGCTATGGACTATTCGAAAGGAAGGACTTGAATTCACTCATTTGACTTGACCACTTATTTCTAACGGTTAAAAAGGTAATGGTCCTAAGTTCTATAATCACTGTCGTAATTGATGTTTGTAGGCATCTGAAGATACCTTCTGCCACTATAAAGAAAAGCGGCAGACCGCAGACAGACACCTCTGTCCTCTTTTTTTTTTTCAGTAATAGCGGACACATTTCTTGAAACACCGTGTAGAGAATTTTTAGGCACTGTTCCTGGGTTGAATACTTCCAATCCCTTCCCTCTGCACCTGTGCAGAGCAGCATGCCCCTTATGCCAAACTGTTTAACATCCCTCCCTTTCCGTTTTGTTTCTTTTTCCTTGCCGACCCTCGCCGTGTCTCTCACCGCATGAACTAGCATGTTGAAGATTGTCTCAGCATGGGCTTGATTACTCTGTAGCCTTCACCTTCAAAAGGCAAATGAATTATTAAACATGAGCAATAAAAGTAATAAATAAGAGTAATAAATGCAAAATAACACATAAATCATTGCCTGCAAGTTCAGTTCACACTTCCGTAGCCTGAAAGAAACAAAAAAAGGAAGTAGGAGAGAACTCTTCAACTAAATAATAAATAAAAATACAACGCGGCAACCTTACTAAAATGCACTTCCCTTTCCAATTATCTGCCCCAGTATATCGCCAAATGAAAGGACGCCTGGAGCTGCGCTCACATTTCGCATTAGATAGTAACATAATCGTTGGTAATTTTTTTTTGCTTCCTTCTTGCTATTTCAGTAAATATTCCAAAAGAAGGGCAAGAAGGGGATGGGTGCTGAAGTGGACGTTTCGACAGGTGAACTTGTCTATTTCAAGTTTCAGCGTTGGAAAAGACATGAGCACTTGTCCAAATGTCGGCTCTAGCCCCTTCCCTTGTTACCGAATTTTTCAATAAGTACTGAAATTTTAATAGTATATTCTGTAAGGTAAGCACCACGGAATTTTTTCCAGGTGTGAGATTTCAGCCCACTTTGGGCATCGTGACAGTCGTCATGCAGTACACATCTCTGTATCTTTGTTGCCCAGCTAACTGTCGCCATTTCATGCTCATGTACTGAGAAGGACACGGAGACGGAAGAAAGATACGCACAGGACAAGCACTATTTATCTCAACGCTGTGCATCTCTGTTTCGTTCACAACACTCGTAAAGTGGTTTTCACCAACGTTTTTAGCAGTCATATGGACGAGCCAACTGCTGGAACACCCAGCAGGGTGCACCGACTTCAAATTGGTCGTTCTTTATTTCTTAATTTGAGAATACATGTGTAAAGGAATTGAGAATACGGAAAGTGATCTCCTGTTATTGTTCTGAGGGCCCACTGGCCAAAAAATAACGTATTATCAAACACACGGGCCCGATGCGTGCGGCGTGCTCACCCCACTTGTAAACATCGAACACTTGCTCCGCGCTTCGTCAGATGGCGCAACCGGGTCTCTGGGAGGGTCGTTCGACATGTGCTCCCCGATACCTCCATGTTTTGCCCCAGCACGCGCACACATAGGTATTCAAAGGTGAAGAGGATGCGTGGGTTCCGGAGTAGAACCTTGCCGAAACTCAAGTGCTCGCTGACAAATGCAGGACCGTTGTGAATACAGAGAACGTTCAATTGACGACATCTTCGCTAACAATGAAAGGAATAATTTACGTATACACAGTACTGACGACCACATTCTGTATTTCGTAGACGACAGTCAATAGCCAAGCACACAAGATAAACTTTATTATCAAGCTATCTTCTCAACAATAAACAATAATGAGTATTTAGTCAAGAGGAAGGAAGATCATGGATTTTACAGGTGCAGTGAACGATTCGTCCGTAATTATGATGTAATAGATCACAAAATTGTGAAAATACCATAGGACGAAATTACAAAGTTTTTATACGATGAAATGGCTTCTTTACATTAGGTATAGCTGGCTTCGCTATTGGCAAAAAGTCTTATATTGTGATTGGGGAAACCATTCTAGGGTAAAACGTTTTTGTGAGTATAAGACTCGGGAAGAAAGAAGCACTCCATTCCCTGATCTAATTTTTTCACCATTCCGAACCTAATTACACTGATAAATATGAATCAACAGGCTAGAAACACGTAGGAATAAGGGCCACCACAGCACACTTTCGTTATGGAACGAATCAACAAGCACTACGCAGAATCTTGCAGCCTTTGTCGGGGCTTTCTCACAAAAAGACGGTAGATCTTGCGTTTCGATGGGTTCATTTTGACGGCTAGTGCCATCAACGTGACCACTAAGGCCGCTGCGACAAGGCAGCCGATCAGAATCCACACCCAGGTCGACACGCCAGTGCGCGCCCGTGTAACATCTGTCAGCGATGGAACGGTGGTGGTCATTGCTTTTTGGGTGGTGCTAGCTGTCGTTTTAGTGGCCACTGTTGTGGTCACTTTCGTCGTGGTTGTAGCCACGGTAGTTGTAGCCGCCGTGGTTGTTACAGGTGATGAAACGTGGAACACTTGAACGATGTTCGACGTCTTCGAATAAAGACCGTCTGCGTTTACGACGCGAGCCGCCAGGTATCCACTCCAGACCGAGGCGCCGTCCGAACGAAGCGTAGAACATGATGCGGGGCAGGTACACGGCTGACGGTGTGCTTGGAGCCACGGGGGTAGCGGATCGAGGTTCCCTTGCACGACGTCGGCGGCAGTGACATTGGCTTGCTCATCGAACGCCGAGCTTAGCTCGCCGAACTTTCTGCTGGCTCGAATCTCTACGCCTGAGACTGGAAGCAACAAAATTGACATACCGGTCGCAAGTCATTTCGCGAGTGCAAGTGTAGTGAGTAAATTAAAGCTGCAAACTGGTCTATATCATTTCTGGAACGCAAGTTATAATTGTAAGGGCACAGAGAAGCTTCGCCATGATAAAAGTGTACCAGATGCAGTATTATGATAGTTAAACTTCACCAATTCCATTTTTCTCGATTTTCATTGGAAGTCGCATTTTCCCTGCGAAGTTTATTTACAGAGTGTTGCGATTAATTTCATGCCTCTTTTCAAATAATAATTTCTAGCTAAGGATCCTTGGTGCGAATCTTAAAAAGGCAGTGCTATCGCTGCTTGACGTTGGTGCAGAAAGCATACGCAAGCACTGTAGCCGAGCTTTCTTCAATCGTTTTTACAAATTTACCTATGATACTGAAATTTACGGAAACTAAGCACTATGGGAAGCAAGCTTAGGTGCTACCTATAAATTTTAGTTCATGAATATCTTAACAGAGAAATTGGTTATATCTAATGACAGCTTACTCCAACGAAGTTGCTGTGTACCCGCTTCAATTTATGTCGTTTTTAAATATTCTACACACTTAAAGTGAAATGGCAATAAGTTTCGAGTGAAAAAAAAAAGATGTGCAAATTCCAGCTCTGCTTTGCACTGCGCTGGTGACATAGTTTCCTGAATGTACACTAGAGGGAACTCTGGCACTAGTTTCTATGGGAGCTCCAACGCACGGCGCTTCAGCGAGCATCGGAATTATAGGTAATACACGGATTTGTCTAATCTTTGTACTTCTGGCTCTGTGTGTGTTCGTGTGACTCGAAGCTGCATATTTTTTTCACGAAACAAAAATCAGCAAATGTTCAATGGTCGCACTTCATCGCCTCACACATTTAGGCTTACCATTTCAAATCAGGTCACGAAGCTCAAAAGGATTCATACTTTCCTTTGAAACAAAGCCGAAACACAGCAATGAGAAACACAGCAAGGGTAGGAAAAAGGGTAGGAAGGGAAGAAAGGTGGAAGAAATGGAAAGGAATGAAAAAACTTTATTTGAAGGGTGGAAGAAAGAAAGAAAGAAATTAAAATTTTGAAGGTAGGTAGGTAGGTAGGTAGGTAGGTAGGTAGGTAGGTAGGTAGGTAGGTAGGTAGGTAGGTAGGTAGGTAGGTAGGTAGGTAGGTAGGTAGGTAGGTAGGTTGGTAGGTAGGTGGGTGGGTGGGTGGGTGGGTGTGTAGGTAGGTAGGTAGGTAGGTAGGTAGGTAGGTAGGTAGGTAGGTAGGTAGGTAGGTAGGTAGGTAGGTAGGTAGGTAGGTAGGTAGGTAGGTAGGTAGGTAGGTAGGTAGGTAGGTGGGTGGGTGGGTAAGAAAGGGAAAGCAGGTGGGAGGACGGATGAGTAGGGTGGGGGTCAGGCTCGCTTGCCCTAATTTTTTTGTGTGGCATCTGAGAAGCTAACGCTTACCGTTTCCGAGAGTCAAATGAGCTCCGGGCCACGTCCACGTAAGCTCCACGACCATCGAGTTGTTCACACCCGGGCGTACCTCAATGACGGTAAGGTCCCGGATGTCTCCAGGAGGTACTTGCTTCTGCTCCAAGTCTGTCGTCACTTGGAACGACCCCCCGGATGCCACTCTCTCGAATGGATCTACCGCCTCCTCTCCTGTTGCATTGGTGGCTTGACCCGTCGAATCCACCATCTCGAAGTCGCTGATGGGGTACTCGGACTGTAGTTCTAAAGCCGCAGTTGTTCCTTCTGCTGTCATCGTGGTCGGTGCTAATGTGGACGGGTAATAAGAAGAACTGTTAAGCTCATCACGCTAACGCAAGACCACCACACTGGTGTTTTGTAAATCAAGAAATTTGGGGGCATCGAGGAAGTCCAGGTCCGGTACAACGCTGTATGCGGAATATTTCATAGGCCAACGGCTTGGGTACGTTTGCGTCGCGCTGCGCGTGTATTCCTGGTAGCCCGCCTGCGCTTCGCTTTATAATAAACATTAGTTCAATACGATCAGAGAAAAGGACAGAGGGCGGCACAGTTGCCTGCAAATTTCGCAAGACTAGACCTGCCGGCAAACTATGGTATCCTAATTCTAACCGTAAAACGAGATTGTGTTGAATACAGACGTTTTCCAGAATGAATTTCTCAACTTAACCCGTCGAGGTGATCATGATGCGGAACTGTTGACCCAAAGGTAGTGGGTTCGTATCTCCGTGCCGCGTAAGCCCCGTTTCAATGGAGGTGAAGCGTGAGAGGCTCGGATACATTAATTTCGGTACACGCTAAAACACACCAGATGGTAGTAACTTTCCGAGGCCCTCTATCCCAGTGTCTCTGATGACTATATCCTGGTTTTGGGACGTAAAATTCTTGATATTATTATTATTCCTCTCTCTTAATTGCTTACTCTCTCTCCCTCTCGTGTTTACCATGCTTCACCTTTTCGAGCAGAGTTGCCGTTCAACGCTTGCGCCAGCTCTACTCAGCAGAGGGACTTGACGAATTGTTGTGGCAGGTACCCACCAGAGGACGAAGCCAGGGGGATGGAGGAGGTTAATGGTTTCAAACCCCCCCCCCCCCCGAAAAAAAATTTTTAATGTGGCTTGCGTATTACACATACCCACACAATGAGCGCGCCAGCAAACATAACGTGTGATTTAAACCTCCTACCCCCGAAAAAAGTTTCTTGCTACGCCTATGATACCCAGCTGGCGTTTTTTGTGGGTTCCGAAGTTTAGATGCTCAAAAAGCAACAGGGAGAGTTGTGCTGGTTGGTATGCTTTCTCTTAATACCGTTGCAGAATGGTGCTCTCATTGGCAGATGACAATCAACGTAAAAAAATCTGCATGCATGACGATAACACGAAAAAAAGAACCCTCTAACTTTCGCTATAACATAAATGGTGCTGCTCTCACGAATGTACAGAGACATAAATATCTAGATTTAACAATAACATCAGATCTAAGGTGGGACGCTCACATTGATAATGTTACTTCTTCTGCTATGCAATAACTATTTTTTATCCGCAGATCGCTCCATCTGGCACCCACCTCGACGAAACTACTAGCCTACAAAACATTCATTAGGCCAATCCTTGAATATGTAAATACTGTATGGTTTCCTCATACCGTGACTAACATAAAAAAATAGAAAAGGTACAAAGGAAGGCCATAAGATTCATACATAACAAATTTAAACTGGCTGATTCACCTACTACCCTTCTAGCTGTTTCTGGGCTTCCCACGCTCGAAACACGCGCGAAGCAGGCACGTTTGAAATTTCTTTATCAACTCCTACATAATTATTTCAAAATAGATGTCTCAAACTACGTTGAATATTCGCAAACACGAGCTACCCGCCACCAACATACAAATACCCTATTAGAATATAAATGTAACAATGATGCGTTTAAATACTCCTTTTTTCCAGTTGCCATCCACGAATGGAATTTGTTAACCCCTTTCACCACTAATGCCCAGTCATTGTGCGATTTCTTATCAAGAATTGAAAATAACGTCTTTTAGCGCCCTTGATATGTCTGCTTTTCTGTGACATGCAAACCAGCATTCACTTGTATTTGGTGTGTATGGTGTGCATAAGTGCTGATTGTATGCTTCGAGGTTGCTGATTTGTATTTTTACACATTATTTGCCAATTTACGATCCTGAAAGTGTTAAGTGCTTTTTGTAACTGTATACTATAGTGCCCACCTGCTATGGTCTCTTTGGAGACTGGCAGTATTGTGAATAATAATAATATTATAACAGCGCGAAAGATCAACCTTAACAGCTCAGCCATTTAAACAAAAAGATTCGAAATACTCTTTTTCTATTAGACTGTATGCTCTTCCACCAAACCTCTTTTACGATTCATGATGAGAGTGCCAGCTGGTTCCGCACTCGGTGCGAGAGATGATCTAGACTCACCTGTGCTCGCAGAAAACAGCGCCGTGCTGAAGAAGCTACCGGAGCCACTTGGTGGTTCGGCCAGCCGCGTGGTTTTCTGTTGCGAGACGTGTGCTGTTACTGCGTAGCGACCTTTGCCTGTGAACTGGACGAAGTATCCGCTGTACGTTCCGTCGTTGGCTTTAATGTCAGGATCTGCATGCGTGATGGAATGTGATATGACGTTCAGTGCTGTGCGACTAGTTAACACTGAGAAGCGGTGGAAGTACGAACCACCACAGTGCCGTCAGGAAATTCTCCGGCGTACGTATCTTTAATGTGCATTCTATGCGGAGAAAACTGAATTCACAGATGCAAGTGGATAAGTGAGCGTTAAACAACCTTGTTATGCAAAAATTTCTCTTCCCCCGCCTCACTCGAAGGAAACTGCCGCAAATAAGTGCATTAATTTATTGATGCTAAAATTTGGCTGAAGAAATATTGTGATGAAAAGTGGGGTGTATACAGTATCATTTAAGTCTACAATTCAGACGAAATCTGCAACAGGGCAATGATAATTCTTGCGTCAAGTGTGCTCTTCTTATTCTAATACCACTACTACTTTCTCTATGCAAACCCTTGAGCTAATGTCGGCCATCGGCTCTACCAACAATGCAATGCCATAATACCCATTACTCCCCCTCCGTTTGTCCAAATTCGTAAAATAATTCTAGTGAAAGAATAGTGAAGGTCCTACTTTGATCAATTTATTGAATTCCGTGCACATATTTTAGTTTTCGGCGGTGATGACGTCCCCGTCAACACGAGTGATAGAAACAAGCATCGTAACATCATGATATGGTGTCATTATGATGTCACACATCTCCAGATTTGATGTCAATGTTACGCCATCGTGACGTTGTAGAAAATCCTTAAAGCATAGTGTCAGCGGAGCCAGTGACCCCCGTGTTTCAAGAATTTCTTGTCGCTTGAATCTTACATGTTTCCCTGAAAGCCTAGCTCATTGTGATGCAAGTATGGCGTCTTCATTACGTCATTTAAGGTTGCGCCATGTGATTACGTCTTATGACGTCACCGTTTGGTCTAAGGCGCACCGAGCCCGGAGGCGCTGAGAAGTGAGGTGAAGTGGCAAAAAGCTTACAATGCCTCCGATCGCGGATGCCGTGTAAATCACGTAAGGTATATAATGCTGTCATGGGGACGATCAATAAAATCGACTTAGAAGAAAAAAGATGGTCACTATGGTTTGCGCCTTCTAGTTGTCTTAGGTGAACGCATGGTGCTTTCATGTTTCTGTCTGTCTCAGCATACTTGATATCTGAGCCAGTTTGTTTACGATACCTAAAGAAATCCAGCAAAAGCACGGAACATGACAAAGACGGAAAGAAAAAAATGCCGCCATATCCACGAAGTGAATGGTGATGAGTGGGCGAAGCTCCGGAGGTAAACCTGGTAAACCATGAATCCTCCGTACATTTTGCCCACTCGATTTTATTGCAACGCTCCCCCTAGCGTACGTCGCCGCACTATATCGAACGATGACACGCGCCATATGTGGCATCATTCCTATTTTATAACACCTCGCATCTTTCATAATCAACTACACGTACCGCCGTCTAGTTTATAACATCTTGCATCTTTTGGACGGGACGGACGGACGGACGGACGGACGGACGGACGGACGGACGGACGGATGGATGGATGGATGGATGGATGGATGGATGGATGGATGGATGGATGGATGGATGGATGGATGGATGGATGGATGGACGGACGGATGGACGGATGGATATGGCTGTACCCTTTAGATCGGGCGGTGGCTAGCGTAATACTTAGAACTGAACGAGAGGTGGCTACATACAGGGGACGCACAGCCCACGCCTTAAGGAGCTTCGCTCCTAAAAAAAAGCGGTGTTTGTGTCTTACTCTGTCTCATGTGTGATCCTTTCGCTGGCTTTCTTCAAGTGTCTGTCACTTACCTTGTCCATTGTCATACAACGGGATCGTGACCGTGTGCGGCTCGTTCAGCTTCTTGGGACGGTAGACCGTAGCGAAGACGGAGGCGTCCAAGACTACTTTTGTTCCCTTGGTCACCACGGCGTAGATCACAGCTCCGTCGGGCCTGTCCACCAACAGGCCGCTCATTTCGCACGATACTCGGATGGGCTCGTCGTTGGTCTTGCTAGCCTGTGACTTGACGCTGATGCTGACTTCAACGTTTCTGGAGCTGGAGCTTTCCACGTGAAGGGTCCAAGTACCGACCTTCGCAAAGCAGTTTTCAAGAGACAACCTTTGGAAAACATTATCAGCTACAACAACCTACAAGACGTTGCACGATAGGCCAGCCTAATACTTCCCGAAGTGCTGACATTCCAGCTTCAATTTAGACATTTGGAAGTAATTTTTGTCTCAATAAGGTTCGAGCCCGCGCCTAAGCCACCAAAAGAGCACCCCCATGTGTTTAGGGTACTTTTAAAAAAGTAAGACGTACTATTTGCTGTAGTTCAGTATCTTATTCGGGAAGTGAGGCAATAACGGCGGGCCTGTAGCATGGTAGATTGGATCAGTGTATGCACAACTCTTGTCGGTCTGACTGCAACGCAAGAGCGCGTGGAGGAAATCGGCGCACTAAATCTTTCTACTAGTTAATGAGCGATGCCATCATATTGGATTTTTTTAATTAAACCTCATATAGTCTAACGCTTTTTTTTTTTTGCTAAGGTTACGATTAGCAACTCGTATATCTTAGGTTTCATCCAGTCATCAATACACGTGAACGTTTCCTGTGGAGAGAACGATGAACTCTTAGTAGTAATACATGGAGGTGTTACGTCCCAAAAGCACAATATGATTATGGGAGACGCTGGGGTGGAGAACTCCGGAAATTTGGATCATCTGCTGTTCCTTAATTGCACTGAAATCGCACTGCACACGAGCCTCAATCATTTCGCTCGCCCCGCCGCGGTGGTCTAGTGGACTAAGGTACTCGGCTGGCTTACCCGCAGGTCGCGGGTTCGAATCCCGGCTGCGGCGGCTGCATTTCCGATGGAGGCGGAAATGAGGAGGCCCGTGTGCTCAGATTTGGGTGCACGTTAAAGAACCCCAGGGTGGTCTAAATTTCCGGAGCCCTCCACTACGGCGTCTCTCATAATCATATGGTGGTTTCGGGACGTTAAACTCCACACATCAATCAATCAATCATTTCGCCCCATTGAAATGCGACCGTTTCGGGTGAATCGAACCCGGGACCTTCAATGTCAACTGCAGAGCACCGTATATATAGCCACTAATCCATCGCGGTGGACAGAACGATCAACTCCTTTCTGCAGTATTGCACGAGAGTGCGAAAGGTGACGTCACTGCCTCGGCCGTGCGATTTCCGGGGGTCATGCATATTAACAGCCCAGACAGAATATATGGCAGCACCAAGGCAGTTATTGTCGTCAAGGCGCATGAAAGTAGTGCGGTAATTTTCGATAAGATCAGTGCCTCACCATTGCAGGACTTGGTAAGGAGATGACGACCTCATTGCCGTTCGGGGTACTTTTGCACTGCTGGCACGGTTGGCCACTGGGATCTGTGAGGCGGGCTTCAATCGTTCCCGTTCGCGGGATGTTCTGCGTGACGCGGACCACCGTCGCGTTGCCCACGTCGGCAGTCCACGTGGAACTTCTTCTCGAATACCTTCGTGAACTCTTCCTCGGACTCCATCAACTGCTCCGAATGATGGAACAAGAACAAAAAGAGGGTATAGGATTATGAATGTATTGCATCTCTTGTATCACTAAGGATGACGTGGAAGAGCTACAAAATGAAAAAAAGAGAGGAAAAGCGGGGAGCTCAAGCACACTCTCGTCTGATTGGCAAACTTACGTTAAGATCAGGCAAGTAGAAATACAGGGTAAATAAAGGGGTGTCGCTTCTAGTTTGTAGCATGCGTGCCTACACTTACGCCTACAATAGATTATGATTAATTATGAAATTATGGTTAATGTCGACTACCTCTACCTTAGGATGGATAAATATTAAGGCGTAAATCAAACGCGAAATTTGGCCGTAGACTTTCGCGACGTCAACACGGGTGTTGCAAAAAATGGAAAATGATGACCGCATCATTGCGTCAGGTATATATATATATATATATATATATATATATATATATATATATATATATATATATATATATATATATATATATATATATATATATATATATATATATATATTGTAACACGACAAAGTTTGTGGTGCCATGGCATTACTAGGACGTCTTGATCACTCATGATGCCGTCATAACATGAAATCATTGCTTTGTAAAAGGTGCGGTGATCACACAGGAAGTGCGACAGTGGGTGACTTGCTGAAAGTTTTCAACGCCTTCGATTCTGAAGGCAAGGCGGAACCATGTTGCATGCAGAAAGCTTTGAGATAGTGGCGGAATAGGAAGATAGCTTTGGCCTATTCCTCTTCCACCTTAGGTTGAATGTATAAAAGATCCCGTGAGTTCTTTTTTCTTTTAAGATTGTCTATCCGCTGTTATAAACGCCAATATTTTGTTCAAAGCGTCTCGATTCGCTCTACCCTAATTCTATGACTGTTTCTTAATTATCATCATCAGCTTGACTACGCCCACAGCAGGGCGAAGGCCTCTTCCATGTTCCGCCAATCAACTCGACTCTGGGCTTTCTGCTGCCACGATATACCTGCAAATTTCTTAGTCTCATATGCCTACCTAATTTTGCGTGCTCCTCAGGCACTTGCCTTCACTTGAAATTCCGTCAGTCACACTAAATGACCAGCGGTCATCCCACCTACGCGCTATTCAGAAGCCTCGAAGCTTGCAAAGAGGGTTCCATTTATATTGAGGATGACGCGACGAACGATGGAAAGGAAACTGACAGGTGTCACATTAACAGACCGCAAGAGAGCAGCGTGTGTCAGGGAACAAACGAGGGTTAAGAATATCATAGTTCAAATCTATGACTTCCTTATGTTGTACTAACTCTGCTCTTTCTTGCCCCGCCGTTCTTGAAGGTAGTCCAAGAAGTTTAACCGTACCGTGTGGGCTCGAGAGACGGGGTCGTGCTGGGTCGTAGTGGACGACACGAAGGCGGACTCTAGTTTTTCCACAAGGTTATTGAGGTCGCGGAAAGCGAAGGCCTTTCCTCGCGTCGACGTGGCCAGTTTTTCTAGGTTGTGGTCAGCCGTGGCTCCCAAGGCCAGAGTATTGACAACGACTTTTGAGGCGATAACTTCTTCGAGCACTTCAGCGATTGGTGGGTGCTGGTTCTCCTCTCCGTCACTCATGAGCACAATCATGGCACCTTCCGGCGTCTCACTGGCGGTTGTCAGCACCTGTAATTAAGGGACCATGGCCTAAAGGTACTGGTCAGGACGTGTTATAAGACAGGCAACCAGTTATTTAATACCAGTTCGATTCACACAAGCTGTACTGTGTTTGCAAGACACCCTGAAAGACCTGCCTGTGAGAGTGGTTTCACTCCCTCAATCGTAAAGTTCATTTCATCGGCCATATTTACTGAAGTGGGTCACAAGACTACCACGGAAAATAAAAACGCGTGAGCGTTAGCTCTAATTTCGGTCATGGACATCATCGACAACGTAAATGTGCTTTCTTTTTCCTTTTCCTGACTTTCACCACTCTTTGCGAATGTTTTGAACTACATGGCAAACCGTCAGAAGGGTCTTTCGATGTGCCAGATTAGCTAACGTTTGTTTTATCTTTTTTCTTACATGTATTTTTACTTCCTTCAGTTTTTTTTTCAATTTAGAACAAATCATGACACATCCAATAAGTGAAGATGGTCGTCCAGGGAAGCTGTCTATATTCAGTGACCTCTCTTACAGAATTTCCTAGCGGTGACCCTTGATGCTAGTGGTGGCATGCCTTCGTTATCAGGTCACTTCGGCTTCGTGAGTTCGCACTTTGGAGTCATTGACTTTCTGCTTGAGCTTGGCCTCCACTGGACGAGCTGGCAACGCTGCGTATACGGTACGAGGATGGCTATACGCACGAGGATACCCAATTGCTTAGCGAGATCCCGTGTACTTGGTAAATGACGTGAATCCACATGACTAACTAGCGAGGTCCCGTGATTTTGGGAATCCGTCGTTATCTTTCAAATGCGCGCTTTACAGCTGATCGGTCAAAGCGAATCACGTGACCTGGTGACTCAGCCACTGAGTTTTCATCGGATCTGGACTGCTACTACTATTATTGCACAGGCTAACCTAAAATGTTTTCGCCGTTACGTATTTCGCCGCGGTGCTGAACAGATGAATCATTTCATTATTACTGGCACTGCTTCTTCAATGAAGGAGGTACAAGAGAGATTTGTGCTGTGGACGATACATCTGCTGACGCTATTTAAAAAGCTGCAATTCAGGGTGTGAATAGTGCTCTGGTGAATGCAGATAACCGCTCTATTCAATTACAATGCTTAATCATTACTTCTTCCTCCTCAATATGGCCATATGTAAATGAATCTGCACAAGAAGCGAAATGTAGGCGCACCTTTAGAGCGCTTTCAAGGCCGCATCCGATACAGGTGGCTCCATACGCTCGCAACTTGTTTATGGCATTCAGGAACCCATCTCTTGTGTTCACATTCACCGGCATCAGGGTGTGCACCACGCGAGAGTCGTAACTGAACGTGACGATGGCTAGTCGACGGGAGCCGTCTTTGATGTCGCCAATGTAGCGTGTCGCCGATTCCTGAAGAAACTCCAGGCGTCTGTTGTCCTGTAACGAATGACAAGGCAGTCAAGTAAAAAAAAAATAGCAGAGAAGGAAAGGCAGCTGGGAAGGTTAACGACTTCACAACCGGTTTGGTTCCCTACTCATCGCAACAGGATAGGGAAGATTGAAAGACGCAGAGGAGTGAGAGAGGAGGACAGCATATAACACACACGCACACACATGCACTGTTACACAATCTAACTTAAGTAGGTTTACAGTTTGTCGCTCTTGCGGACGCGACATTTCTTGAATACGTCACAAGAGTCTTTGTCGCCTTCAGCTGCGATATCGGCGAGTAATTTTGTGAGATGAAGCCAGGGAGGTGAAGCTTTTCAGCTATAGCATAGATTGTGCGCGCTGATGTCCAGTCAAAAGTGATTTTCCAGCTTTGTGGGCATTCCTTATCAACCGGGAGAAATGATTATGCACTTAATACGTTAAATAGCGAATCTATAGATGTCATTTGAACCTGCCATCACGAGCCTCACTGATATTCTGATAATGAGATGAGCACGTGCGCAGTTGCAAAGTTAATAGGATCTAATTAATTAAACCACATAAACGAAAAAAATTGGCAGCGGCTATTCCGCTGTACTGAAAACATTACGTACTGGGAGCGCTTTGCGTAAAGTCATTCTTCCATTTTTAAATCATGTTGGGTGATGACTATATAGGCCATCATTTATATTGCACTGCAGACGAGTAACGTTTTTGTGTAATGGAAGGTGGCGAGGGTGTGAAGGAAGGCATGGCAAATAGCCACTCTGATATCATATACGCTGCACAGAAAAGGGCACTTACGTTCATGCTGCCCGAAACGTCCAGTACAAGGACGACGCGGGGCGCGAGGTCTTCCGTCTGCTGGGCTTCTTCGAAGGTCACGCGAATGGACTTGGATAGGTCTGGACTGGGAAGTCTGGTAAGCACAAACGTTTCAGAATTATGTCGTCACCTGCAGCTTTAGCGTTGCCCTCACGAAAAGTGGGTACTCTTTCTCAACGCTTGTACTCATTCATTTATATAACCATAAAAGGTTGTCAGAGCCGTAGCCGGTCCTTCAAGCGACGTTGACCCAAATCTCAGGGCCGTTATCCAGGCACTACAGTTTAGTTATGTTTCTGTTTATTATTCGTTGAAAACACATAGGTTCATTCCTAATAGTAGGCAGACGAGAAATCCGGGCTCTCAATCCAGAACATATGGGCCTCCAGCCGAGAACATCCTGACACTCGCGGAAAAACAAACAAGACCTTATACATTAGAGAATCCAGCCTAACAGATCACAACGGTGGTCACAGGCAAGCATCATTTCTACAGGGCATCTTACCTACGATGGTCAATTGTCCATCAAGATCTTAAAATTCGCCTCGGGTTTTTTTCTTTAGATGCCAAACAGTTTAGGGTCAAGCTCAATCAGGTGTGCGGCGTGACCACCTTTAGGGCGCATGCGCGTCCGCTTCCTTTCTCATCTCCTACGCCTCACCCTCTCTCCTCCCAACGCCATTGCAGAGAGCGTCTCTTGATCTACGCTCGCTCCCCCTCTCTCTCCTCTACGCATTCCTCCCGGCTGGCGTTTATACCCCATTCAGCATGCGCGTCCTCTACCCCTTGAGGAGCGCATAAAATGGATCAGAATATTAGTCAGAAACAATGAGAACGTGTTATACGTTGATGGTTCCAGGTATAACTTGAAAGCGCTGCGTCGTCACCATTGTAAGCAGCGACACGGGAAGCATGGTGTCCAGCGCATCATCGTACACAACATTGATTACCTAAGACTGAGTGTTTCGTCATCGCATTTGAGATTAAAAGTCAAGAGCACAACGACGGCCAAACGTCCGTCAACATCCTCTCAGATTCGCAAGAGGCGTGCCGTCTATTCACGAAAGGTCGCCTCCCATTAAACATTTGCAAACTTTTAGGCGGTGAATTGAGCAACACTTGTAGGTTTGTCTTGTGCCCGGGACATGCAGGCCTAGAGGGTAGCGAGAAGGCATGACGCTCTAGCTCGAGCGCTCACGAACCGAGCGGAGCAGCAGCTTTTCCCGCTGTTACCTCTACCCAGCACTATACGCACGATGGCTTTCGCGAGGAGGAGGAAAACGACCCGGCTCGGATGGCTTCCGCGAGAGCAGAGCTTCTTGCTCACCAGCGATACACACGGAAGAAATATGGTGCTCTCCACAAATCTCTTAAAGTGGAAAACGCCATAGACCTCCGTGAAATTCAAACGGGAGTTTGAATATTTAAATTTTCTTATCTGAGTGACGAATCGAACGCGGGTTGTTTTCATAGCAAACGGATGGTCTACCTCACAGCCACGGCTCTTTTGTTTTTCCTCTCGTGGTATTTATTAAAAATGTAGGTTACGGGTATGCACATATAGTGTACAAAATACTTAAAGCCTCTCTCTGCTTGTGAGTCCAGTAACAATAACTTCGTCGGCTTGGAAATGCAGTGAAAGTAGCTTCAATGCTTTGAAATACAACACACGCATCCTGTACACTGGCTTCACAATACAACGTGAAAAATTGCCGTAATTGCCATCGGGCGTCAAAACACTACTACACCCTTAAGGCCACGTAGTGGGGGCATAGCAAGTTCGAAAAAATTGCGTACACTAACCCCCGTATTCTAGAACGCCCCTTCACTCAACGTCCACCTTCACTGGATGGATGGACGGATGGACGGATGGATGGATGGACGGATGGACGGACAGACGGACGGACGGATGGATGGATGTGGCTGTACCCTTTAGATTGGGCGGTGGCTAGCGCCACCAAGCCACAATACTTAACGAACCAAAACTATATTTATTTTTCCCTTTAAATAGTGAGGTTGGGGTTCATACTTTGCAGTAAAGGGTTTAAATTTCACTAGTGCCTTGACTTTAGCAACTAATCAGATAACCTCCTTCTAGTTAAGTCTACCCGCTTAAAGTCTATTTTGCCCTCGCTGTCCCTAAACCCCAGTGCTTTGAAAAACTCTGCGCCATCATCCTGAACTATAGGGTGAAGCCCTTTACAGAACATTATCAAGTGTTCGGCAGTTTCTTCTTCTTCTCCACACGCACTGCATACCATGTCTACCCCTTCGTATTTGGCCCGATATGTCTTGGTTGAGAAAGCCGATGGGAGCGCCATCTCTAGGCAGGGAAAGTCACTGCATATCTGTGATAATTTGCTGCTATGCTTGAGTAGCGTAGCGTCGTTTTCAGCCGAGCAGCGGCACAGTGCTCAACTCTGTCAAGTTTAAGGGTGAAAGTCGAGTCGAGGAGCGTTTGTGAATACGGAGGTAAGTGTTTGAAGTACGCACTAGGAACGGAATATCGCTATCAGTTTCAACTATCGAAGGTGAAACTTAAGGATCCCTTAGAGTTTATGCCGCGTAATTTTGGGAGCTATAGTTACAGCTAAAAAGAGAATTTTTTGTGTACAGTTTTTTCGAAAGACAAACCATCTCAAAGCTGATAAAATATACGTAAACGGCTGCATGCAGCATAAGGGAGATAATTCACTTACTCTTGAAAGTCAGCGTTCGAAGAGATAACTTTCCAAGTGGACTGTTGTTTGCAGAGGTGGTTTTGCTTGTTTGGAGCAAACGGGTTGTGGAAATTTGGGCCATCATTATCGTCGCAGAACTGGCTCACCTGTGGAAAGGTGTGTGTACCTCACTACCTGAGGCAATATTTTTGTCAACAGTCGTGTTACTTCGCTCGCCAAGAGCAATGGTACCTTCGCAAGCGCCACTGTTCGGCGATAAATTGATCTTCAACTGCCAGGTAATAATGAAAGCACTCGCATAACTATTTCTCACTTGCATGCGATTTCTATCAAGTTCATTGGACAGTTTGCAATAATCTGCAAGTCAGCTTTCCTGTAAGGCTTGTTTTCCAACCAAAAACTGTCGTTCACAGACTGCCTTTCTCGTTCATTGTGCAGCAAACGCACGCGAGTACAGCATAATGAGCTAGAAAAGCAGTCTGTGAACGCGAGTTTTTGGTTGGAAAAAAAACCTTACAGATAAGCCGGCTTGTAGATTATTGCAAACTGTCTATTTGAAGCAATGAAGTAGTTAAACTATATATAAAAATATAACGAACAGAGGAAGAAGGTAAAGTCACGGGCTCAGCTCCAGATCACCAGGAGGCGTATAGGCACGAGGTCACCGTTCGAGCACCATGGTCTGGTTCTGCCTGCGTAACCTTCGAGCTGCCACCAGCTTGTTCAGCTCGCTCAATAAACCTCCTTACATTGGATGGAGGTGCTGGGTACTCGGGCTTGCTGTAATTTATCAAACCACTAGCTTGCACGTTACTTTAATTTTTTTCTCCGAAATCTAGGAATGCTTATACTAGCTCGTAACCGTTTTATAGGTCTATAGGACGGCAGTACAAGCGCCGCTGTAGCTCGGTCGGTAGAGCATCGGGTGTGTATTCGAAGGTCAAGGGTTCGCTCCCCACCGGCGGCAGGTTGTCTTTTCGTCTGCTTTTTCACATTTATATGACAATTACTGCTAACAACATCCCCTATACCTTCTATAATATTATTAACTATTATTATTATTATTATTATTATTATTATTATTATTATTATTATTATTATTATTATTATTATTATTATTATTATTATTATTATTATTATTATTATTATTATTATTATTATTATTATTATTATTATTATTATTATTATTATTATTATTATACGGGGGCTTGCAAAAAAGCCTCTATCGGCTTGACAAAAGCCGGCGCCCTGTTCACAAAACCATACAAGGCAAAAACAACAGTGGACAACGCATTAAGTGCTATAGTAAGGAAAGGCCTATAAACATAGCGACGGCTTATAGATACACTTTTCAATCAACGTTTATATGACGGAACTAAAATCATTGGGGGCAGAAATCGCTCTTACTTCACTAGTTATGGAAGCCTATTTAAATGTTTAATTTATCATATTAGCGGACGAGTTAAGAGCCTGTGGCAGCGAGTACAGTAGCATTTGGCGGCCAATTATATGTACGAGTGTTCGAACAATGACATCTTTGTTAGTTCTCATCATCATTTCGTCTAATTAGGGAAAACCAGCCCTCAAGTTGTCGCATCATCTGAGAAAAACGTTTTCTTTTTTTTTATCTACTCCGAGTATCCGAAAGGTGGGCTGGGGCGGGCACTGAGGCGGGGAAACATTAGCCCCCTCTTCTCGGGATATCTGATAGAATCCTACGCACGCCTACGGCGGTCAATCCAGGGCTGTTCTTACGTTGGCTAAGTACGGCATGAACATGATGGATGACTCGGCGGGGTTCCTGGTCGGCTGTATCGGCGTGACTTCACATCCGTCGATGAAACGGCACTTCGTGTCTATCTTCGTACAATTGCCTCCGTTGGTCTTACGTGCAGTAAAGGTGATCCGGCTCGAGCAAGCGTTCAGCTTCACCTGAATAGTAAGATGGAACGCGTAATTGTGAATGTATTGCAGATCAAAGTCTAATCGTTTAAGAACACTTAACACAGACCCTCAAAGTTGACACGCATGTTATTTCCCACTTTCTTTCTTTTTTTGTGTGTGTGCACAACAGGCTTTGTTCTGTTTATTCTGTTCTTCTACAATTTATCTGGAAGTTCAGGTTCATGTCATCTCGGCGATTACATTTTGAATAGAAATTTGTGTGTGTGTGTGTGTGTGTGTGTGTGTGTGTGTGTGTGTGTGTGTGTGTGTGTGTGTGTGTGTGTGTGTGTGTGTGTTTGTGTGTGTGTGTGTGTGACTTGAAAGCGAGCTCTGAATTCATGCCATTTCCCTTGCTTCCATTTGCAACCAAGACTCATTGGAACATTAGTAAATTTGGCAAGTTTGTTATTATCAAATAAGTGTCCCGGTCAGTGCTATTCGGGCGCGATAAAGAGTCGAGACAAGACAAAGAATTACGTTTTTTTACACAATTTGAAGCTGATTGCAGAGTTCTGATTACTGATTAAAAATTTACTGATTAAAGAAATGCTTATTAAAGTTTATAACATATTTATAACACTTGCAACTCGCATTTTCATAGCCGAACTACAGGCGAGTAGCACTCTAGTAACTTATATGGGCTAAAGTGTATGCCCAGCTCAGACTGCTACACGTATGAATCGAAACCGCACCGTGAAATGCTAGTGATGTTCTATTCAATAGTTTTCCTTACTCCATTCTGAGTGTTAGCATAACTAGAGCTAACCCTAATCCTCACAGCGTAGGATATTCAAACGAAATCTTTCTAGTTAACCTCATTACCTTCGTCCTTTCTTTTTGTCTATTTCCTCCGTCACTATGAGCGCACATTGTTGTTGATGCAGGAGCATTGTTCATGACACGTCACATTAGCAATGTTAAAGAAACACTAAATGGCATAACAATTTTCCGCGCAATAATAAAGTACAATTTCACAATCATGAAAAAACGACATTCTTACCGTAACACGACGGCTAGAAAACGAGAAAACTTGTGATAATGTAATGCGGATGGAGACGTCATATTGATATTCCCGCGCAGAACACCACGAGGTAAGAAATTTTGAAGCCGTCTCCTGGGTCCTATGTAGCTTACAATCAATAAAAATGAAGTAGATTAGAAGCTGTGATTGCCACAGGCTTAGCATAGGAAGTTCCAGAAAATTTTATCAAGGCTATATGCTTTGAAAATACTGAAAATACATCTTGAAATTTTTACCCCACACGTGAAGATACTGGCGCGAAATTCAAAAGTGAAACTTCAACCTTGACTTTGCCTCCAATAATGAACTTACGGTAGTTAAACATCGGGCATTGGAGTTCTTAGAGTGCTGTTTGTCAATCTGAACCCAAGTCATTGCTCCTCTTTAGTATCCCTCTCTCATTGCTTCTGGGAATATACAATTTAGCGTGAATTCCGCATTACTGTATAGTTGTTAATAACCTCCCGACTTAAGATTGTTATGCAAGAGAAGAGTAGCCGGAGCTATACCCAGGCACCAATGTTACTTAAAACACATCTGGGTTTTAAAAGCGGCTACGTGAGCACGTGGGTGGGCGCCTCTCCTCACCTTGTCGCCATGGCAGTAAGTGAGCGGGAACCGGCTGTCGTCCTTGCTGCCGTACTCGTCGAAGACACCATAACGGTAGTGAGCCCACTCGTGCACCATCACGTACGCTTCAAGAAAGAGTCACACTTTGAATTGTTCGCACTCTAAAGGACTTGCAGCATGGGAGCCCGTTCACTCACGAGCTCAGTCAATCAATCAATCAATCAATCAATCAATCAATCAATTACTCAACGTTCAACAATGGCTTCTAGCAAGAGCACTGGTGGGTCTCACTAGAAGCCATTACTGATTTTTGATTGATGGCGGGTCCCGCTAGAGGCCCGTCGGTAGAGCCCTCCCCTATAGGCTACTTTTACCTCGGCAGACTTACAATATATATAGGTGCTTGTCATGGTCGTCAACCTTTAAAAGTTTCCGGCTACGGACCTGTTACTCGCCCTTGTTTTCATCACTAAATGCTCTTTTTTCTCCTCAAGATGGGGCCGAACAAGAATATGTCATTCAGTTTTAAGTATGCTCGCTAGCTGAGAGCTTTTGCAGGGGGATGATGGTGAATCAATGCAACCACTTAGAAAAAAAGGTTGGCTTTCGCCTTAGAGGTCACCTGAGTCGAATACACTCGGTGCCATGCGAGTGTTTCTCTTTAATTTACGATTAATTTTCCAAGCCCAAAATGGCGCTTGCCTGGGTTCACCAGTGTCTTAACCGTGGAGCTACCCACGGCGGCCAGAAACCCGGGCGTGACTTGAATGAAGTCGCCGGGTTCGCCGCACCGCCTCTTCTGCATGGTGAACGGCTTGTCCCCGTGGGGTGCGCTGGGCTGATCGACGCGGATGTCGCTCTTCTCGAAGAATCCGGACGACAGCGCACGGGCGGTGGCTCTCTTCGGCCAAGTCTTGGGAACTTCGATGGTTACGTGCTTGAAGTACACGCGTCCGTTGGTGGCCTTGTGCAAGAACTCGGACGATGAGCGGAACAGATCCTGCGAGGTTATTCATTGATTTATTTGTTAAGTAACTAAGGGAGCAAAAGCAATGTAAAATCATAAGTGAAGATGAAGGGAAAGTAATAAATTCATCAAAACTAAAGCAAGTTAAGATATAATAAGGCAGGTAAAGTGAGATAAGGTAATGGTAAGGTAAATTTGAGTTAGTATTATATAGTTTATGTACCCTGAACAGCTAATTATTAAAATAATTATTTATTGTTTAGTTAGTTATTTTGCTATAGTAGAATGTACATGGAACAGCGTAATTAGAAGCTTGAGGTGTGTATTATTTGAAACCGTTCTTGCTGGTTGCGACAGGCCCTAAACGCCCGTCATGGCAGCCTAACACGTAAGGTGTCGCTGCTGTGCTGCAGAACGTGGGTTCTAATCTATTTTACGATGGAAACACTTCAGATAGAATGAAATGTAAAGGAGCAGCCGTGTGCTGAGGTTTCGGTGCACGTTAAAGCGTCCCGGTTGGTAAAAAAAAAAAATTAAACAGAATTTCCCCACTGCATGGTCATATCGTGGCTTTTTCACGTGCAACCACAGCAGTTATATGACAGGACGCGAGTCCCCGAAAGACCGAAGAAGCTAAATGATGATGTTTGGAAGGAGTAGTAAGACGTTGCCTTGATATTCTCAACGATGGACTCGTTGTATGGGACATCTTCGCTGATGGAAACCCATATGTCTTTGTAGCCACCGTCCGAGGTGTCGATCTCCAGCGGTGACGCATGAGACAGCAAGCACACGAGGGCGGTAGCTATACTTAGCACACCGGCCATGTTGTTGCCAGAAAGGCTGAAAAATAAAAAAAAAATAGAAACAGTTTAAACCCTATCTAAGGACACCTGCTTTTACGAGTTTCTCCACTATAACGAAAAAAAAAATTATTCTTCTACAAGTACACTTGTTATTCTCCCACAAGGTTTATTGCTGTCACCAACTCGAATTAACGAAGCTACCATAGCACTAAATTCGGTTTAACGAAGTTTTTTTGTTGCTGTTGAAATAGGTAAATGAAAAAAATAATTCCTTGCTAATTGCTGACCCAGGTAGGCTTTTCTTCACGTGCACACTCTAAGGCTATCGCATCAAATCTATCTGGGCGCCACAGTCACGACCATAGTTTAACTTGATGGGGCTGCATGCTGCGTCCGTGCAAGCACGGAAGAACGAACGTAACAGTCGGCATAGTGCTCTTCCGTACCCAAAGGAGTTGGTTTATCGTCCTTCTATATTCCACTACAAGCGCGCTTTCATTATTTACAATATTTATTTTTTTATGCTACAAACGGCAGTTAAAATATCTATGCTACTTCCTTGTTCCGGCTGCTCGCACAATCAAAGCGTTTGTTCTCTTCCTTTTTGCATGTTGACAGCTCAGAATAGAATGAATGCCAGCTCGCTGGTTTCGATTAATCTGAGAAAACCAGCACTAATTCAAGCGCAGAGCCCGTACTCGTGTGAATTTTTTTTTCGCCCGTGTTTACATTAGCACTGTTTGTTGTTGCTTTTTCAGCTGGATCGGTAGCTTGTCACAGCATGTAATGTGACAGTATTTCCACCAAGTCTTGCGAGGGTTCATGTTCAGATGACGTGAAAGGCTCCATGTTTTTTTTGCTGCGGAGGTTGTCTCTTCATTACGCTATATATATATATATATATATATATATATATTGTGTGGGTGTGTGGAGAGAGAGTAGAACGCGATTACGCAATCGGAAGAGTGGAAGCTTGGGCTAGTTGGTGCGTATTCATATTTGCAAGGTGTTTCAGCGCGCGAACAAAGGAAAAAAGGACAGGGTAGACAGAAAGAGCGCTGACTTCCAACTAACTTTATTTCGCAGAGTGGCAAGAATTTATACGTCTAAAAAGGAAGATTACAGAGCATAAATGTAAACAACAAGCCCAATCTACACACCAGTAACAGCACGTGTGACAGGTCCTCTAATGCCTCAAAGCCCAGCCAGGTAATCGCGTTCAGCCTGGGATAAAGCAACCGATGAGATGATTCATCGGTTGCTTTATCCCAGGCTGAACGCGATTACCTGGCTGGGCTTTGAGGCATTAGAGGACCTGTCACACGTGCTGTTACTGGTGTGTAGATTGGGCTTGTTGTTTACATTTATGCTCTGTAATCTTCCTTTTTAGACGTATAAATTCTTGCCACTCTGCGAAATAAAGTTAGTTGGAAGTCAGCGCTCTTTCTGTCTACCCTGTCCTTTTTTCCTTTGTTCGCGCGCTGAAACACCTTGCAAATATGAATACGCAATCGGGTATCTGGTCCCGTAGGCATCAATATCTGAAATGCTGTCCTGACACTTCGGCTCTCGATAGATACCGCAATCACACTGCTGCGTGCGTAAGGCCGTTGCAAGCAATCCAAGAATTCCTAATTGCCATAGCAGTTGCGACGTGCCTGCTGCACCGTAATTCTGGCTTTTGCAGATCAGCGAAGCATCCTTAATAGAGAAACTAAAGGCAAGAACAATTATTGTCAGAGTGAAAGCTAAATGTGTGACAACGTCTAAAACTGCCATACTATCAAATTAGGCTAAATGTGCCACATTACGTGCGTCACGAGCGGGATTTTGTTCTGAATGTGATCCTGATGACGTGAAAGCGTCTGACTACAATTAATCACTAGTAATAAAACTAGCTGCGATAAGACTAACAACTTTCCGTGCATCGGGAAAGGCAATAAAATGCTGCTTGTCCGTTTCTGTTTGACTTGTGGAAAAAATAGTTGCCTGGCGTTACTACGGGGAATGACATGACTGGTTGAAAAATTGTTTTCGCCTGGTCGGGCTGGACAGTTGGCGCCATCTACTGGCACTGAATGGAACCAAGCAAGCAAAAAAATTTTTCTACGGTTATTTTTGCTGCACTGTACTGCCGTGGCTCCGCCACACTGGAATCGCTGCTACTAGTGTCGGCGGCCCTGCAGTAAAGCTGGGACACGTTGTGCACGGCAACAGTGACGGGATAAACACTGCTTTCAGGTGTGAGTCTTGAAGTGCGCTAACGCAGTGGGGACTGCCAAAACGTGATTTTATTTCAAAGTACACTTTCCTCACACAAAAGTAGCACTTACGACGTTCCTGGACTACTGTTTCAGGAAATCAACATTGACTTAATATTTGCCTTTAGTGTCCCTTTGAAGCAACGCGCGAACCTACGCAGATGCTCACATCGGTGGCGTAGCCATGGAAGTGAGCCAGAAAGCCAGTACCGTCATGCTCCTCAATAGATGACAATATTAAATTTCGAAAGACGGACAAATTATTTTATCGTTTTCACAATTTTACTGATTTAACGAAATAATTTTAGCGCGGCCGTCACTTCACTGAATCGACTTTCAACTCTGGCAATAAAATTTGTTTTCGAATCTTTTGAATATTTACTCGCTTACCACAAACCTTCAAGCTACACGCATCTTCCTATTTATATTTCAAGAGTCTATATTTAATAAGGGTACTAGGTTGAATAAATGATTTCCTACATAGACTACGACTCCATAAATTCAGTTGATATGTTTTACGTTGACAGAAAACGTCAACGTAGCAGATGATGTAAAAATCATATACGGAACGCGAGGAGTATTCGTTACAAAAGTAAAATAATTGGAGTAAGCATGAACGAAATTTTATTATATGTTCGTTAAAGTACCAACAGTGCACAATGTACAGTGATCGCAATTCTCTGCACTAAACAAGTTAAAAGGTTTATGCATAACAAATTTCAAGGGTCAATTCTCGCTTCATGAGCAATATGTTTTGTGGTGACAAAGCATAAAATGTTTTATGTGAATGGGTAATTTGATTTCTTTGTCGTACAGTTTAACTGATTCGATCTACGCGAACATGATATCACAAGGATATATTTAAGTCAGTGTTATCGTTGATGTTGTAGGCAGATTAACAAGTTCCACGGAATATCACAACACATTTCAATTGCTATAGCCGCATTTACCAGATGAAACGGTGCTCACCTCACTAAAAGTTGGGAAATTATAATTTAAGGCTCGAACATTTGTTTGAATTAGTAAGAGCAGCTAAGAAAACTTAGTTAAAATCTGATAACTCGCTAACAGATTCCCGTCACGTATTTAGGCTACTTGTCATAAAGGCGCACTTTTTTTTGCGTCCAGCAGTAGAAACTTCTCATTATTTTATATGTATGAAGGTACAGCATAAGATATCCAATGAGTTTCTATTTGTGAAAAACACAATTTTTTTGTTACGTCACTTCTCTAGCTGTTCCTCTCAACATCTTTTGTGTTTAACTGCCTAAAAGCTTCAACTAATAGGCTTTTAGTGGGCGGCAAAGTGGGCGGCATAAAACACAATGAAAGACTTTTGTTACATGCCGTGGTGGTCTAGCAGCTGTAGAGCTCTGCTGCCGGTTCTAAGGTCGTTGTATCGAATCCCGGCAGCGGCGGCCGGATTTCGATGAAGGTGAAATGTTAGGGGACCTTGCACTTCAGTTTAGCTGTACGTTAGGGAATACCGGATGGTCGAAAATTTCGGCACACTTTTCTACGGCTCCTCTCGTAATCATATCGGAGTTTCGGCGGGTAATATTCCTACAGTTATTATTACTGCTATCGTTTTACAGAAACGACGTACTCACCGGTTTTTGCCACAGCGGTTCCCACTTTGCAGAGAGTAAGTTCCAGCGCCAAGGTGGTAAAAATGTGGCTGGTGTTCCTTACTCAACTGTGAGCGAGACAACTGTGCTGGTAAAGTGCATACTCGTCCGTTATTTATATTATCTTCTCGCTAGCAGATAACGTGTGCTGTTATCAGTCGCTGGTAGCACCCCCACCACAACGTGACAATTGAATGGTAGCGTGCGTAGCATCCGGGCGACAAACAATATAATTAGGGAGCTCCAACAAAAGCTCAGCAACAGCTTTTCTTTTTTCCCATGACGGCCTATCATGGCACTCCTGCACAACGACACAAGATACCGTAAATGCTCGTAAATACGCAGCCGTGGTATTGATGTGGTTTCAAAGGTAAACACCGAAAGCATTGCCCATGATTCGTAGTTCAAACCTTACCCGGATTATGGAGAATATTACGCGCTAACCACGTGTGAAAATTTGTGTGAGCCCTAAGACTGCCCCGGTAAAATATCTAGCAGCATCAGGGCCAGACAGAAGCGGAGGTATATTTCATGACTTATCTATCGTTTAGGCGTGCTACCGTTCATTCCATTTCGAGTGTTGAAGTAGCATTCACAGTATCAATAGAAGTATAATTTTCAGGAGATGTTGAAGCATCAAGCAAAAGTACGAATTTGGTCATGCTTAAGGGTGATGAAATTTTCGTTTTTCATATACCTCACGATGAAAGAGATCTGTGTGTTGCCAAGTTTACAAACCCATTAACAATTCCTTATAAAATTAACCAAGATCAACGTTGGTCAATTGAAATTACGGAATATATCAGCAGCGCTGAGATGCTGAAAGTACTTTGTGAATAAAGACGTTGGTGTATCAAAATAGTGAATTGTTTTGTTAGTTGATTTGACATTTGGCATAAAATAGCGAAGGCTTGAAGGGAAAAGAAGACTACCGGAATACCTGAGCGTCTTACTTCTAACTGGTCATCTAAGCTTTTGCTCTTCTATGCCAAACTTTGGCGATTGTGAGCGGAGTGAGGGCAGGTGAACCATGCTGTAAATATGTTTGAAAAAGTTGACACCCTTCTTCCCCTCGAAGCCATATACCGAAGTCAGTTTACGCATGCGTTTGCAAAGGTTCTTGTGTAATGTACCGTGTGTTAATGTGTGCGAGTATCATGTGCTGCGTAGACATTTCGTAATAAAGCATGTGCACGCCAACGGAAGTTTCCGACGAGTATTTGACATGACAACGCCGGCTTCATGTACTCTGAGCCGCTTTTTGTAAGCAGCGCTTGCAATGAATAGCGTGGAAGATAATGTGAATTCCCTACGTGTCTATTTCATTCTGATTAGCAATATCCATTGTTGCGAGTAATATTGCACACACACACACACACACACACACACACACACACACACACACACACACACACACACACACACACACACACGCGCGTGCACGCGCACACGCGCACGCACGCACGCACGCACACACGCACACACGCACACACGCATATATACATATACATATATTATATATATATATATATATGTATATATATATATATATATATATATATATATATATATATATATATATATGTGTGTGTGTGTGTGTGTGTGTGTGTGTGTGTGTGTGTGTGTGTGTGTGAGAGAGAGAGAGAGAGAGAGAGAGGGGCTGCCTCGCGGAGAGCAATGAACTCCCCAAAGCAATGGTATAAAAAGGACGGCGAATGACTGAACACTGAACTTTTATCATGCAGAGGCCATAACCTTGTGCACTGAGAACGCAGTTCAGCGATATCGAAGGCTGTCAACCAGCTTCTCACGTGGTGCAGTGCAACACTGCAATCTGCCACTTGTTGTATCTTATGGAAGCTAAAAACGCAAACGCGTGAGCACATATACAAATTCTTGTGGGGGCTCTGATTCTTGCACGAGTCAACAGCCTGTACGTTCTGGTCAGCGTTCCTGGTTCTTGCATGAGTCAACATCCTGTACGTTCTGGTCAGCGTTCCTGGTCCCGGTGCTTGTAGGGAAGTGCTTCGTCGGCTTCCGTTCGTGTGCACACAATAATTATATTTTAGTTCTTTTCTTCGCTGTATTATTAATAGATTCATGATATTCACTACGACTGGACGCAAGGCCACCTTCCAAATCAAATCAAATCAAATGAGCTTATTAAGACGTGTATACAATGGCGCGTACACAATAGTTGAACCAATAGCCTACGTGGCTAGTAGCTGGTCCAATAGAGAAAATACACAAAAGTTAACTACGCACGTGATTGGTCTGGAAATTATTGGTTTTATACTTGTGGAAGTTTCAACAATGTACCATCTACGTATGGAAAGGTGATAGCAATTAACTAGACCAGAAAAAAAAACGTTTTCAATAAAGGTTGAAGTTACGCATAGTTTTTACAGCAAAGGCTGTTATAAGATCACAACTAGGGTCACACGCAATAGTCCACCGCCGATGCCGATGTCTGTAAATACATCGCGCGAAATTAGAAAAAAAAACTAGCACAAATGACACAGTGGGGCTCGAACCCGTGTCCGCTGGGTTCCAGCCCAGTATTCTCCCACTGATTTACGCCGCTGCTTGTGACTTGTCAAACTTGCGTTAGGCAGGCTTGATGTCGGTAAAGCAATCACGCTAATACGACTTCTAAACCATTTTAAAACAGCGAAAAATCAACCAGTCGTCGCACAATGCGAATAGCGTAACGGGTGGCTAACGTGGTTGCTTGGTCGAGTTTGTACGAGATGATTTACATAAAAAACAGCGCCCATAACTCGTTATTAGCGCTGTTTTTTATGTGAATCGTAACGACTGGACCGTCCAATGTTTCAACCCATCACAAAAGCTTGTTCTTGTTCCCCTATTAACTTTCGCGCATACCCACTTCAGCCATAATTCCTCATCGTCGTCAGCCAATGCATGAACAATGGGCACAAAATTCGTTGCAAGTGTTCAGCGGATACCACGATTCTCCGAATGACGAAAAATAACATAGCGAACGCCCCCCTACTGCCCAAATAAATTTATTATTATGATCTTGTGGGTTTCAAGCAAGTGTGCTTGCAGTAGTTACCCAAAGAGTGTTCAGAAAAGACTGTGAAAGGCCGCTCTTCTAGTTTTCACTGTGACCTTGCTGCGCCTTCCGCGCAGGCCTGGTGTTTTTTTATTTATTTCCAGAGGCACAATGTTCCAGGTTTAAGATCCAAAGAACCCTAACAATCGTTTACCATAAACATTGGTGTAGAAAGGAAGATGCAAATTTAACTGACCTATTCTCCTGGTGCTTGCAAGCGGGAGATTGAATATGATGTTGGGTAGTGTAAAGTTTGTGTACAGTGTTTTGTGAACTTGGCAAGTCACCTTAGAATTTCTTTGCACCCTAAAGAGAGACAAAAAGATAATTGAATAGGGAGTAATGAAAAAGCTACTTGGGTGATGAGCGGGGCAGAATGCTATTATTCTTAAAGCACGTTTTCGTAACTTCAGTTTAGGTCTGAAACGAGTTCTGTATGCTAAGCCCAAAGTCTCCCAGCAATTGCCGAGGTGTGAACGAAACAGGGAAAAGTATATGCAACTAAGTAGACTAAGTATATGCAACTAAGGAACAGACCGGTGCATAACGGCTAAAAGCTAGTTTTCTGCACACAGCATTGATCTGGTCTCTCCAGTGGAAGGGCATGATGGGCGAAAGAAACTCCTAAATATTTGACTGCGTCGATACTATTCAGAGTTTGTTTGGCCAGAGAAATTTTAAGGCTGCTGCAGTTTATTGTTTTCCTGCTTGAGTAAAATGCGACGTATTGATTTTTCCCAGCATTTATGCCTAGCCTGTTTTCTGTAAACCCCTTATTTATTATTGCCATTTTTTTTTCGAAATAACGTCATACAGTGAAGGGAGTCCGTTCCACTTGTAAGATCTCAATTTAGAAAGTTGCTGTTGTTTTTGGTATTGATGGTACGCTAAAGTAGGACACGTGTGTCTAACAAACTCTGTAACACCTCTTTCTTTCACTGTCTGTCTTTCTTGTTAACTCATATTGTAATTGATTGATTGATTGATTGATTGATTGATATGTGGGGTTTAACGTCCCGAAACCACCATATGACTATGAGAGACGCCGCAGTGGCGGGCTCCGGAAATTTCGACCACCTGGTGTTCTTTGACATGCATCCAAATCTAAGAACACGGGCCTACAACATTTCCACCTCCATCGGAAATGCAGCCGCCACAGCCGGGATTTGAACCCGCGACCTGCGGGTCAGCAGCCGAATACCTTAGCCACTAGACCACCGCGGCTGGGCTTACTCATATTGTAACGTTTATAATGACCGCTCATGAAGCAGACTTGCCAAGCTTGCAGTGTGGTACCTCTAAAAAAATAGAGAGCGCACAGTCATATGCTCTCACTCCAAACTTTTTCGCCATGGCATACATAGCACGAAAAGACCATTTGATTGCGCAGTTACCACTTCAAGTCAAAGTGACCCCCACCTCCCCCGAAAAAATATCTACATACGCTTCCGCCTTTATTCGAGAGCATCACCATAGTCGTGCGTACAGCTGGCCAGGTGGGGCGGTAAGGGGGTGAGCCCTCCACCCTAATACATCATCTTCGCGCTGCATTCTGATCGTAAGGGCCTCCGAGTAAGGATACCCGGACGAGGGGTTTGGCGCGGCGGGGAAAGGTCTCACTCTCGCTCGCACGTTCTCGCGGCCATTAGACGAAGCATACGGAGGTTGTCATTTGATTTCGGGCCAATCTGAGGTGCATCGCCTAATCACGCCGTAGGACAGCTCCAATAAAGCCACTACGCAATACAAACATTTTTCACGTGTATCACGTGCAAATATCGTAGTACTTGTAACTTATCTCAGTTGGCCGCATACCAAGGCCATTACTAGCTACTTTCTTTTTGGCCTTGTTCTGGGCACTATAAGATAAGATTAGGGCGCTGTTGTGAAGACTCTCGTTTGTTTTATCGTGAATCCCTGTGACCTTTATTGGTATCTATCGCGGCTGCGTGGATTTATAAATGCAGTACATTCTTTATAATGCAGTACATTCT